ACACAAATACACCCACACAAATCTGACATATGCATTAGTGCTACTGCCTTTTGCTCTTGTACCTCACTTTTATGTGAAGCTGTTTACGCCAAAATGATTGGATAAAACAACATGAAGCAAAGAATAAATAATGCAAGGCATAAATGCAGGAAAATAGTATGTTAAGCCCAGTGGTGAGTTTCAAAACTTTTTACTACAGGTTCTGTGGGTGTGGCATGGCTTGGTGGGCGTGGCTTAGTGGGCATGGCAGAGGAAGGATACTGCAGGTAAAATCTCCATTTTCACCCCACTCCAGGGGAAGGATACTGCAAAATCCCCATTTCCTCCCGATCAACTAGGACCTGGGAGGAGAGAATAGATGGGGGCGGGGCCAGTCAGAATTTTTACTACCGGTTCTCCGAACTATTCAAAATTTCCGCTACCGGTTCTCCAGAACTGGTCAGAACCTGCTGAAACCCACCTCTGGTTAAGCCCATGTTAACTTTGAGAAAAAAAGAAATAAATATGGGGTGTTTCCAATTTCCAGTTTTCCAGCCTTGAGTAAGCTTCTTTATGCTCTACCTTAAAACCTACCGAACTATCCAAAAACTACATACAGACAGCTGAAAAGCAGAGAATCAGTAAAATTTTGAATTATTTTTAATTTACGCACTAGGCCAGTGATGGCTAACCTTTTTGCCATCATGTGCCAGGAGAGGGGGGGCGGGGGAGGGTCGTGCGCGCACATGCCCACGTGCATGCGCGCGCAACCCCACCCACCCCCACTCCTGGCACAGGATGGCCTGATAGGCCTGTTTTTCTTTCTTACCTGATTCCAGACCCTCTCTATGCATCTGGGAAGGGCGAAAACAGCCTTTCCCACTCCCTTGGCGGCCCTACAGAGGCTGAAAAGGCCCATTTCCCAACTCTCGGTGGGACAGGAAGTGACGTTTTTTTCTGTCCCCAGCCTCCAGAACCTCTCTTGGAGCCTGTCTAGAAGTCTGTAGGAGCCTCTCTAGGAGTCTCTGGAGGCTGGGGACAGGAAAAAATGTCACTTCCTGTCCTACCGGGAGTCGGGAAATGGGCCCTTTGAGCCTCCGTAGGGCCGCCAAGGGAGTGGGAAAGGCTGTTTTCGCCCTTCTCAGATGCATAGAGAGGATCTGGAGCCAGGTAAGAAAGAAAAACGGGCCTTCCCCAACCCCCCCCCCCCTGTTTCCCTACTTCTGGTGGGCCCAGAAGGCCCGAAAATCAGCTGGCCGGGGCGCACATGCGCCCCAGAGCTGACTGGCGTGCCCACTAATATGGCTCTGTGTGCCACCTGTGGCACGCGTGCCATAGGTTCGCCATCACGGCACTAGGCAATGAATATATGGAAAGTAGAGGAGCAAGGCAGCTGTTTTTCAGATGAAGCCCAGTGTAATGAGGACTAACACGCAGCTTGCAAAGGAACTACTCACACCTATGACTCAATGCCGTAGGGTTTCCTGTTAAACAAGAAGCAATCTTTTACAGAGAGCAATTTATTTCTCATTCAACCATTAAACAATCTGATTGGTTTCTGAGGGCACAAATTACACGCCTGTAATAGCAAGCGGCCCTACAAGCTTTTCAAGCTTGTTCATGAACGTATATATGTTTCTCAAATCATAGCCTCTGTTGGTTTATGCCCGGGGTATCTCTTTTAAAGAATTGCAGACTCTCCGCATAAAGTTGAGAGCTAGTTGTTTTGCAAATCAGTAGCAAGTGATGTACTTAACTGCGAGCACAAAATAATATTCCTATTGCTTGGAGCTCTTATTGTGAATATAACACGCCACTCTCTACACACAATGGTGCGTACTGTATACTCTCAGCATCCAGAGAATGGCTAGTGGGTCATTGGATTTGTTTGTTTGTTTGTTTGTTTGTTTGTTTGTTTGTTTATTTATTAGTTTGATTTATGTCGTCCTTCTCCAAAGACTCAGAGCGGCTTACAATGCTTTTAAGCAATAGCCTTCATACTTTTGTATATACCTGCTTAGTAGGGCTTTCGGCCCCCCCTAAGCGGTGTTCTATTTTATACAAAGTCAGCTTATTGCCCCCACAAACCGGGTCCTCATTTTACCTACCTCGGAAGGATGGAAGGCTGAGTCAACCTTGAATCTGGTGAGATTTGAACTCGTAGTAATTGCAGGCAGCTGGCAGCTAAATACTACTTTAACAGTAGTTTAGTCCACTGTACCACCAGGCTCCTAATTTGGGCAGGGGTCAGCAACCTGTGGCTCTGGACCCACATGCGGCTCTTTGGGCCCTCTACTGTGGCTCCCTGTCAGGTGATCCCACCACTGGCTGGCCCCACCCCTCGCCCTCCACTCCCAGTCACTCCTCACCTGGCCTGAGAAGGTAAGGGCGACAGCGGGGGATGGGAGAAGCGGCCAGGGCAGAGTCAGAGAGATACAGAGAGAGGGGGAGAGAAAGAGACAGAGAGGGAGAGGGAGAGAGGGGAGAGAGAGAGATGTCAAAAGGATTTTGTGGTTCCTGGTGGTTCTCTGCCCTAATGACCGGCTGGGTAGGTGTGGCTAGCGGGGTGTCATGTGACTGGTGGAAGGGAGTGACATCAAGTTGGCTACGCCCACCCAGGTTTTGTGGCTCCCGGTGTTTTCTTTTCTGTGGGAAATGGGTCCAAATGGCTCTTTGAGTATTTAACGTTGCAGACCCCTGGATTAGGGGACCAAGGTTGGTCTTCTTGAACTTCTAAGAGGGCCTCAAACACTCGCTGTTGCTGCTAGAAAACATACTGGTTAGTCATCCATATATCGAAACGAGAGTGCAAAGTCTTTCAGCAAAAGGACTTCACCAGGTCTGCACAGCATGTTTGAGGATTGCATGCTCACAGCAAGTGCGGTCAGCAACCACGTGGTGGGTTGCTTAAAACCTTCAGTTGGCTTCTTAACCCTTTTCTGGACGTTTGGGTTTATATGTTGGATTGTTTTATCGGTGATTATTTATTACATGTTTTACAGGTTGGGTCATAGTTGTGTGTTGCACAGTATATTTTGTTTTATGATGTTGACTTACTGGACGTCCTTGGTGTTTATGGCAACATTTAGTTGTTCGATTTATACTCTCCCTTTTATTCAGTGTCTTAATTGACATATGCAGGGCTTCTTCCTCACCACAATCATCAAGTAAGGTGAGCAAGAATGACTGGCCCCAAATCACCCAAATAAGCTCCCTTAGGCGACGATGGGTTTGAAGCTGAAGTCTCCCTATTCCTAGTCCATTCCCTTAACCACTACAGCCACTCTGGCCATATATAACTCTCATCAGTCAATGCAATAATAAACTCTTCAATAAAGTTACTCTTCTCATTCTGGGAAACTTTAAAGGGCCACAGAAAGATGCTGGTTTGTTGTAACTGTACTTTAAAAAAAAAGATTTCAAGCTATGGTGCATATGACTGCACCGTTTTTTTACTGAAAAAAGTGATTATGACCATTTTTCACACTTATGGCCGCTGCAGCATCCTCAGGGTCAGGTGATTTACATTTGGATGCTTGACAACTGATTCATGTTTATGATGTTTGCAACATCCTGGGGTCACGTGATCCCCTTTTGCAACCTTCTGACAAGCAAAGTCAAAAGGGGAAACCAGATTCACTTAACAACCATGTTACTAATTTAACAACTGCAGTGATTCACTTAACAAATGTGGCAAGAAAAGTCGTGAAACGGGACAAAACCCATTTAACAAATTTCTCGCTTAGCAACAGAAATTTTGGGCTCAATTGTGGTCGTAGGTTGAGGACTATCTGTGCACCCACTTACCACACTTTTAATGGGAAACTTGTGCCTGTTTCTCTGACATTAATATTTGCACTGTTCCATCCCCTTCTCTCCCTCTGCTTGTTTCAAAGAAGCCTCTCCTCTCTTCCGTCTCTCTTTCTCCGTCCCCTTATCTTTCCCTGTTGTCTTTTTCTTTCTCTCCATTTCCCCTAAAACCACCTCCTTTTATATCCTCTCCTCTCCTCTCTTCCCCTCCTCCTCTTTTTTCTGTTCGGTGCAGCTCCAGCTGACTCCTTTCCCCAAGGCTGCGGGCTGCTTCCGGAAGCACCGATCAGCTGGAGCCACACGCGCTGATCCTGGGCACTCAGTAGAGCCCTGGCAACACAGCAGCTCCAGCTGACTCTTCCACAGGCCACTTCAGCTCATCCCCCCCACTACACTTTTACACTTTTTTAATTTTACAGCACTGCTGTAGGGGATTATATCGACCCTTTTTTTTTTTTCTTATCCAAAATAACCTTATTCGTTGTCGAAATAAAAGTATAATTAAAATTCTTATTAAATGGAACTGAAGCAATCTGGGAAGTGCAGACAGCACACTTACTCTTATGGATAAAGAGACTGCACAGTTTTGAACAGGGTGGATTTGATTTAAATCGAGTTGATTTAAATCACAATTTAAATCATGATTTAAATCACTAGTAAAAAGGCTTGATTTAAATCAACTCAATTTAAATCATAATTTTTAAAGAGCAACTGTCATCTCTGCTACTCCTTTGACCCATTGTTGACTCACTGATAGTCCCAGTGTTGCAGAATATACAGCTTCATGCTACATAACTAAGCTCCATTTCATGCTGAATAAACTAAATTATTTATGTATCTTAAATAGAAAACTATCTTACAATAGATTTTTACCCCCAAAAGTTTTTTATTAAAATGAATTCGATAAAAATCAAAAAAATCCAATTTAAATAAAAAAAATCTGATTTTTTTGATTTTTTTAAAAAAATCATTGATTTTTATCCACCCTGGTTTTGAACTGGATGGTGGAGGGGAAGAAGTTTCAAAGTGGCCGCACCTTACAGTCTCCCAAGCTATAACTACTGTATTAGGTTAGATGGTTATAGTTTTAGTCTGGCAAGATTCTGTCTAATAGGTGTAACCAAATAAGGATCTGGATTTGAGTGGATCTCATTGTTTCGTCTCTGGGGTTTGGGCCTGAAAGGTTTTTAATCATCTCATTTTCTTTTTAGGTGGCTTCGCTTTTGTATATGAAGCTCAGGATCTTGGAAGTGGGAAGGATTATGCTTTAAAGGTAATTATCTTATTTTGGGGGATTTTATTCCTCTGCTATTGTTTTCTGTTTGTTGACTTCATAGATGGTGACACTGAATAGCAAATACTGGGTAGTCCTCGATTTAACAATAGTTCATTTAGTGACTGTTTAAAGTTACAACGGCACTGAAAAAAGTGACTTATGACCATTTTTCACACTTATGACCATTGCAGCCTCCCCATGATCAGGTGATTTACATTCAGATGCTTTACAACTGGTTCATATTTGTGACGGTTGCAGTGTCCCGGGGTCATGTGTTCATCATAGTGACATTCTGACAAGCAAAGTCAATGGGGGAACCAGGTTCATTTAACAATCGTGTTGCTAATTTAACAACTGTGGTGATTCGCTTAACAAATGTGGCAAGAGAAGTTGTAAAATGGGGCAAAACTCACTTAAGAAATTTCTCACTTAGCAACAGAAATTTTGGGCTGAATTATGGTTGTAAGTTGAGGACTACCTACAGCAGTTAAGAACAAATCAGTTCCAGAATTGACTACTTATTAATAAACATAAAATATGTGGCTGGGCTTTGTTTCCAAATTCTAAGAATATGTACTTGATAATCTCTTTGATTATAATTTTAGCCCAATATGATGCCTTTCGTATGTTTTGGAACTACAACTTCTGGAAATGTGACATAACATATTAGGAGGGATGTATAGATTGAAGGAGATTATCCACATAATAGTTAGCTAACAATTGTCTGCCTCCCCATTTCCTAACACTATCCTGCTATACCATCTCTGTGTAACAAAGGCTTCCTAGCAGTGGTGGGTTCCTCCTGGTTCGGCCCCGTTCCGCCAAGCCGGTAGCGGTGATGATGTGACATCACCGAACCGGTTCTGCCCCCACCCCCACCCCGCGTTATTCTTACCTTTTATTTGGCCCCACCCCCAATCTATTGCTGTCCCCTGAGTCCCAGTTGATGGGCTGTAAGGAAAAACTGTTTAAACTCTTGCCGCGGGGCTTCAAAGGGTCGCCCTACAGCTGATCAGTGGTAAAAGGCAGTTTGGTGGTAGACCGGTGCCTCCAAAAACAAATGAGTAGACCGGTGCCTGCAAAAATAAATGGGTAGACCAGTGCCTGCAAAAATAAAAGGGTAGACCAGTGCCTGCAAAAATACATGAGTAGAACAGCTCTGCAAGCAGTTAAAAGCCTGGTAGACCAGTACCTCTGCTAAATCCTAAAGAATTGTCACATGACCATCAAGCCATGCCCACAAAATAAGCCACGCCCACAGAACTGGTAGTAAAAAAATTTAGAACCCACCCCTGCTTCCTAGATATGTTTGTAAACAGTCCCCCTATCCTATTCTTGATGTTCACTTTTCCTGGACTGTCTCAAATTACCTACCTGAAGTGAAAGCAATCAGTATAAAGAGATGGTCAGGAGAACAAGAATGATCCATAGCATTTCAAGGGAAATACTTATTGTTGTTTATTCTGCCTGTCTAAGATGGCATACACTGGGAAATGCCCTCAATTTATCTCCACAGCAAATTGGGAAGTAAGTAGGGCTGAGAGAGATCGACTCAACCAATCATCCATTGAGCTCCATTGTTCAGTGAGGACTAGAAGTTGGGTCTGCTCTCTTCATCCAGTACCATTTCAGTACGCTAGATAATATAAAATTACACACTGAGGAATGCCCATTGTTAATTTCCATGTCCATATTTGCAAGCTTTGCTTAAAGCAGCCCACTTACAGTGAAATCAATGTTATTGTGCATAGTGCGTAAATTTTCACAATGCTGCATAATGTCCCAAAAAATTATTTTCATTTTTCATTACAACATTAATCCTAAGGAGGAAATGAACCCATCCAATTGACCAGTTAATATATATATTCTCTTATGTTTGGTTATCTTACTCTTCTTTTTTTTCTGTAATATTTGTCCTAAAAGAGTTTTAGACACATAAAGTGCTGATGGTGATACAAGTGTCAGACTTGGTAGACTAATTCTAAGGAGAAGAGGAAAGAAAAAAGATTTAGTGTTTAATTTCTAAAACTTCTAGAGCCTTCTTCCAGCCTTACGCATTAACTTACTAGTTCAAGCAAATACTTTCTCAGTAACTTAGAGAAGAAATGCAGATAAATAATGAATAAATGAAAGCATTTCCTTCTTTCCATGCCCCTGGGATATTTTTCTCTCAAATGCCAGTTTTACACAAAATCATTGTGGTTTTCAATTTAACATAGCATGCTTTTGCAAATTTCACTGAATAAGAAGATAAAGTGAACTTCTAAGGGAGTTATGATGCATTGCCTTTTTATTTAGAAAAACTATAACTGTTGTTAAAATAACAGTTTTATCATTTACGAACTATTTAACTGTTATTAAAATCCCACAGTGATAAATAGTGAACAGTGTAAATGATATTTGATAATATGTCGGTATAGGGTCAGAGGTCCTATTCTAAGCATTAAAACAATAAATATTCTGTTCTTACGTTGTAATTTTGGAATCAAATATCAGACTAAACTCTTATTTGAGGAGAGGAAAGCAAGAATGAATATGTTCTACGTAGCAAAACTAAGTTCTCATTTATTGGTTTGAGCAGGAGAGAAAAGCAAGAACATATGTGTTAAGTGTAGCAAAACTAAGCTCTCAATTATTAGTTTAAGCAGGAGAGAAAATACGAATGAATATGTTCTATGTAGCAAAAAGCAATCTGTGTGGCAAACCTGGATTCCTAGCTTAAAGTAACAGACCCTATTTAGTGTTTATGAATGAAATGTTTTAAAAGCACTCAACATATGAGTGTACTTATGTACACACACACACACACACACACACACACACGACTGTTAGCAGTTTATGATTACAATTAGTCTTTGATTTATGACCAATTGTTCCGGGATAATTCAAAATTACCATGGTGCTGAACAAGGGACTTACCATCTGTACTTGAATTTATGGATGCTGCAGCTCCCCTGTGACTATGTGATCCCAATTTAAGTACTTCGTAATCTGCCTGCCCTTATGATCAGCTGCAACTGCCCCTACCTGCCTATCTTTGCACCCCATCCCATCTTGCTGTGTCCTTTGGACCTACTTCTCATCTGGCTAGATAGCCACAGGCCTTTGAGATTGAAATTGAGATTCCTGTGAATTGGCATAGTGAAGTCAGGATCCAACCAAAACTTGTGGAATAATCTCCACGCCTGAATTCATCTAAAGCTGGAGGTCATACATGAGAGCATTTAGCACTTATATACCGCTTCACAGTGCTTTGCAGCCCTCTCCAAGTGGTTAACAGAGTCAGCATGTTGCCCCCAACAGTCTGGGTCTTCATTTTACCGATTTCGGAAGGATGGAAGGCTGAGTCATCCTTGAGCCGATCAGGATCGAACTCCAAGCTGTGGGCAGAATTACAACAATGCATTCTGAGCACTGCCCCACCACAGGTCTTGGTGATATCAGTGATATGAGTGTATTCAAAGTATGCAAAGTTTGTGTGAGATTGATACCTTGTTTTAATATAATTAAAAGAGGAAGAAGGGTATAATTACTATTGTTTGGAAACAAAACAGACACACCAAAAAAAGAGAAAATAAATCAAAATGTTCTTCTTTGTGATCTTTTTATTTTCCCGGCAGAGATTATTGTCCAATGAAGAGGAAAAGAACAAAGCTATCATTCAAGAAGTCTGCTTCATGGTATCCTTTTGGAGACAGGTGAAATCATATTAGGCTTGGACTATCAAATCCTGGTTTAATAAGTAAAGATACAAAAGTGGTTTCTTTGCTTCCTCATCAGAGCAAAACTTCCGTTTTATATTTACACTCGAAACGATCTGAATGTCTTTCAAACAGCTCAGAATTTGAAACCCTAGTTTATCTGTGGTTTAAATATCAGTTAACTGTTGTGTTCCAGATTGTTTTACTGCTCATATGACAGGAGAAGCAGAGGAGGCATGCATAGCAGAGGACAGAACAGCTAGTCTAAATGGGATCTTTGATTAAATATATGATACAGGAAATTTGTTTGAAGTTAGAGTTGTGTCAGAGAGCATATTAGTTCTACTTGCCTCCTAATCTGTGTAAATTATCCTTGTTTGAAACTCTTAGCTTTCTTTTGCCATATTAATCCAGGGTCTTAATAATATTGTTACATCAGAAATGCTTTCGTCTGTCCTTTTCTCCCTCCTGCTTTAAATTATGCATAGAATGTGGTTGTGTTCAGTTGACTGTTAAAAGTTGATCCTAATGTTAATTGGATAAGCTCAATGTAAGCCACACTTGACCGCATCGGAGACAGGAAGCGCAGTTGCCAAACTTTGCCAATAGTGGCAGAATGCGGAATTCATTGAGTTTTCACCATCCTGAGCTGGGTCAGCACATGTATCCGACCGTGGTCTCTCGCTCAGAATTGGAATTATAATCCAACTGAGTAAACTCGTTCCGTTGCATGCCTGCAAAGAGGTTTTCCAAATAAACGAGAAACTTTGAAACCTTAACAGACACGTGATTCAGAAAAAACTATCTGGACACCCAAACATTGTCCAGTTCTGTTCTGCTGCCTCCATTGGAAAAGAAGAATCGGATACTGGGCAAGGAGAGTTTCTTCTGCTCACAGAACTTTGTAAAGGTAAAGTTGCAGTTTTTTTATGGAATCACCTTGCCTTGACAGCCCAATTCACTGACTCAGCCAGGTTGGCTCTGTTGAGAAAAGACTCAGGCGACCTTTCTTAGAACAAAAACATTTAGTATCAGCAAAGCAGAGGTGGTATTCAGCAGGTTCTGACCAGTTCTGGAGAACTGGTAGCAGAAATTTTGAGTAGTTCGGAGAACCGGTAAATACCGCCTCTGACTGGCCCCGCCCCCATCTATTCTCTGCCTCCCGAGTCCCAGCTGATTGGAAGGGAATGGAGATTTTAAAGTATCCTTCCCTGGAGTGGGGTGGGAATGGAGATTTTACAGTATCCTTCCCCTGCCATGCCCACCAAGCCACACCTACCAAGCCACGCCACGCCCACCAAGCCATGCCCACAGAACAGGTAGTAAAATTTTTTGAATCCCACAACTGCAGCAAAGGGTTCCAGGACTGCTATGCATTTTGAGCAAAATACATTATCTGAAATTTGAAACTTAACTCCTCCCTTTTCATTTTTGAATTTTCTGTTTCAAGAAATATTTTAGAAACAGAATGAGGAAAAACATTATTTTAAGTGTAGTAGAGGAATGACTAAGTAACTCTTCCCCACTTTAGGACTCTGAATTTTAATTAATGTTTTCTGATTATTTGGTTTGACGAAGATTGAAGAATAAGTTTATCTCCTCCTTCTCCTACTCCCCTTTGTCCTAGTGCAATATACAAAAGTATATACAATATACAAAAGTATGAAGGCTATTGCTTAACGCATTATAAGCCGCACTGAGTCTCCAGAAAAGGGCGGCATATAAATCGAACCGATAAATACAATAAATAACTGCAAAATTAAAATAGGGTGGTTTTTTTTGTTTGTTTGTTTTTCTGGCTAAGCTGGGTACAAATAAAAAAAGAAAACCTTTTAGAAATGTTTTACATTTCAAAACCTGCCATTTTTCTAGCAGAAAGGACTATAGGCTACTGAACCAAAAAGTGTTCAGTATTTGGTCTTCTCTGTTTCCCCTTTGTTTATTAGATTTTTATCCTTTACTTTATAAGTAAATCAAAGTGGCAAACACACCTAATCCTCCTCCTTCCTCCTATTTCCCCCACAACAGCCCTGTGAGGTAGGCTGGGCTAAGAGAGGGAATGACTGTTCCAAAGTCACCCACCAGCTTTAAAGCCTAAGGTAGGACTCCTGGTTACTAGGTCAGCACCTTCACTACTACAACAAACCTCACTGCACCAAACCTTTCCAAAGGCTGAGTAATGATTGGAGTGTACCGCAGTACTTATTTGCAGTCTAATATTATACGAAATAATGATAGAGTATATTGAAGAAAAGAAGTATATAGCTGAGGTGTTGTTGCCAGCTAGAGCAGGGGTCAGCAATCTGCGGCTCTGGAGCGGCATGTGGCTCTTTCACTCCTCTGCTGCGGCTCCCTGTCACTCAAAATATGCGTCACAACCACCAATGTGTGACACCCGCCGGCACGCGATTTATTGAGCTTTTCAACCCCCAGTAGGCCAACCATGGATAATCCAAGAAAAGTTTCAGAAGAAAACAGAATGTTTAATTCAGCTACATATGCTAGTTTTGTGGCTACTCAAGAAATAGTCAGGCACAGGAAAGGTTTTGTGGCTCCCCGTGTTTTATTTTCTGTGGGAAACAGGTCCAAATGGCTCTTTGAGTGTTCAAGGTTGCAGACCCCTGAGCTAGAGGATACATTACGGGAACGTTATTTCTCTCCAGCAAAATCCCAGAGTACAGCTGGACTGATTCACACATTTTTCTCCTCCCTTTCTAATGGCACGTGCAGCAGCATACAATGTATTCACTTGGCATTAGCGTTGTGCTCATCACACAATCTCAGAATGAGCCAAAACCCCTGAGCTTCAAATCTTATGTTAAAATATACCAAGAAAGTAAAGGGATCCGGTGTGGTGGTGGTGGTATTTATGGGCCTCTGTTGGCTGTCATCACAATTAGCATTCCTATTGCCTCTTCCATAATGTGTGTGATTCATGGATTTTATGTTCATAGGGCAGCTAGTGGAATTTTTAAAGAAAGTGGAATCTAAAGGCCCCCTCTCGTGCGATACAGTTTTGAAGATATTTTATCAGACTTGCCGTGCTGTGCAACATATGCACAAACAGAAGCCCCCTATTATCCACAGAGATTTAAAGGTAAGGAATCCACATTTTCTCTACTCCTTATGAGATTGAAGCAGTGATACTTTGACTTAGGATGTTTGCCTGTAGTAATCTGAAAAGTAAAGAGTAACAAGTCTAGGTTGTCTGAGAATGAGTTAGAGAAGATTAGGTTAAGTTCATTTTTTGCTAAAAGTTTCCCCAAACCTGGACATTTTTTCATGAGCAACTTCAAAAGAGTTGATATTTAAAAATGTTTAAAAAGGGGAGGGGATAAAACCGTACACCCCTGTTTCAGAACTAAAAAGTGGAAAAACCTTGAGAGTTGGTCATATGTGTAAAATTCACTGAGGAAAGAAACAGAGCAGAAGAGACACGCAGGAGCTGACTACAGATAGTAAATGCCACCATTTTTTGTATAGCTAGTGAAGTTCCAAGGGATTTAAATTGCAATATAAATAATTATATTACAAATGACAGATGACCTCCTTTGTCCTTCTGGTACCTTCTAGTTCCCAGATTCCCAAGCAGTCTGACTACTTTCTGGAATTTATCCTAACATATCAGCAGAACCAGGTTGTAAAACTTATCTGGAAAACAATTACCAGTATTTCTTGTTTGTTAACTTTATATAGTGTTGGCCAGGACTGAAGTCAGACCTCAATTTACTTTTTCCCCTTGATTGGATAATGACTAGGTAGAAATCAATGCTTAAAGAGTTTTAGAATGGTGTAAGTATTTTTTTTAGGAATTTAACAATGGATTGATGTCAGGTTAAAACATAAAGGAATCGTTTAGTAATGTTATGTTATTAAAATGACATGAACTATAGTGTTCTATATGTTGCATAGGGGATGAACAGTATATACATGTAGGTGAGAAAGTGTGAGGTCTTGAGTCTCATTGCTAAAGCATTTAAAATTATCTTGTTCTCAGTAACTTTCCAAATGTTCTTCAGAGCACACTGTTTATGTACAAACAAGAACTGTAAAGACAGAATATTTGAATTTCAAAGCAGGCTATTGAATCTTAGAAAAATGGTTAGTTTAATGAGAACTTTGATGATCTGTGTCTACTTTGGTGATAAGAACACAGATATGCCGTAAATGTGTGTAACTTGTCTCTGCAGATTGAAAATACGCTGATAAGTAATCAAGGAACAATTAAATTGTGTGATTTTGGTAGTGCAACAGTTGTGACACATTATCCTGATTATAGCTGGTCAGCACAAAGACGGGCAACTGTTGAAGATGAGGTAAGACATCCAGCACTATATTTTATTTTCAACATGTTGTGTTCCCTTTTGAAAACAGTAAGGATAAAAGTTTCTCCTGTCCAGTCATGTCTGGCTCTATCTCCATGTCTTTGCTAAGGGAGGCAGTGTTGTCTGAAGACATTTCCGTGGTTATGTGGCGAGCATGACTATAGGCTGAAGCGCACAGAACACGGTTACTTTCCTGCTGAAGTGCTACCTATTTATCTACTTGCATTTGCATTCCTTCGAACTAGGTGGGCAGAAGCTGGGGTGAGGATGGGCGCTCACCCCATCATGCAGCGCTTGGGTCTCGAACCTGAGTTATTACCTTTCCAGTTGATAAGCTTTATGTCTTCAACCACTTGAAGCCATTGCGCCCCACATTTGAAAACCTTATTATAGTGAAAATAATTCTTAGCTAAAAAAATTAGTTGCGTATCATTTATATGAGAATCTTATTTTTGTTGAGTTTATTCATTGGTCTTTTCAAAGAATTTCCAGCATTTAGGTGGCTTAGCTTCAGTTGCTGCCGAGTATTGCATTATTTGAAATTCTACTCTCTGAACTATGCTATTAAACACTGTGCTTTTTTGTTTCATTTATGCTTACCTAGCAAAACAGATGGATATATTCCATTTGAATAAACTTTGTGCCAAAACTCCATGCTGGGTTTTCAAAATGTATTCCCAGCCAAGCTGCATCTATTGTCCTCCCTTTGTACAGTTCTGTTTCTGAGAACAGCTTTTCAAAGAGTTTGTCTGTTTCTGGCAAGAACTGATAGAAAAAGAACAGGAAATTGAGGTTAGGAACAGGAGATGCGGAGGGGAAAATCAAAGCGCTTTGGATAGAGCCAGACCTCTTTTTCCTTATCATTAGAGTGTATTCTACCTACTTGTAAAAAAACTGCTCAAACATATAGGAGTGTGTATGGAAGTTCTATTTCCTTACAATTCCCATCATCTCTTCTTTGATTCTTTAGCTGAGCAATTTGTGAAGAGTCACATACTCACTTTGATGTAGTAGCTCTCTGTTGCCTACAGGGAGAGTTACATAATCCTATTTCTGCTAAAGACTGTGTGGGGGTAAAAATTTTGCACTGGGTCAGGACAAAAGCTAAACAAATTTAATTTAGTTGGAGAGATGGAGAGCACTAAGATGTACCTCTGGTTTAACGGTGACCTTTTTTGTCCAGAGTATCTGCTCTACCACAGAAGAATAGCATTTTCTCAAAATGCTTGAGTACTGCAGACTAGATAACTTTTCTCCAAAGACTACAGGAAAGTTGTTTGTTTCATGAGATGGGTGGCTAGATAAATTAGACAAATAAATAAAATAATTGAATGCAACTAACTAAAGAGTTTCATTATTATACGTTATATAAGTAAGCTCTTTGGTTTTGCAAATGGATCTGCTTGTTGTAAAAGCTAGGATAACATATGAAAAGGCTGAATGTTAAACATCATATGGCCAAACTTTAACAAATAAGTGAATTTGATGGAAAAAAATATATACTTGTGGATTAACTATAAATCTCTTATTTTGTGTGTACAGGTCACAAGGAACACTACACCAATGTATAGAACTCCTGAAATTATAGATTTATATTCAAACTTTCCAATTGACGAAAAGCAAGATATATGGGTATGCGTTTTCTTTCTGGATAGGTAGATTTTGGGGGTTGTAATTTGTCCCTATTGATTAGGCTTTCTCATTTATTTAGAGAGCTTCCCCTTTTTCCTTTCTCTGATAGACTCCACCAGGTAGCTAATACTAATCTGTTACAATGTATTAACATCATTCAGTGGGCATGTTAAAAGTGAAAAAAAAAGCTGCAAAATCTAAAATTGACATCTCAAAAAGCAAAAAACAAAAGCTCAATAGTGTGATGGAAGTAACATGGGTAAAACCTTAGGAAAGCAGTAAAATACCCTTAGAAATAGTAATGTTCCAACCAAACCTCTCAATTCTGTTCTGCGGACTTAATGCTCATCATCAAGGAAGCTGCTTAACCTTTCCTAAGGTTTTGCACAGACCAGAAACAGGACATTTTCTACCAGGAGGCTTAAAGTCTTAAGTGGTATGACACAGAAGGAAAAAGAGATAGGGAAGGAGAAGGAAAACCAGCTCATCATTGCTTTTGAAGATAATTGAATGGAAGGAAGCACCCACAGTTCTAACTCAATAGACTGGACCATGCCAACTCATGTTTGCTTCTGCTTTCTAATATTTATAGAACTGACATTATTAAAACAATTAAAATGAATTACATTTAATTAAAGCAATTAAAAACAATAAATAAAATCCAATAAAGTTCATTGTGGGATCAGACCCAGTGGCTCTCTTTCAGAATAACAGAGTTGGGAGGAACCTTGGAGGTCTTGCTTCCTGCTCAGGCAGAAAACCATATACTATTTCAGATGAATGGTGTTTCACGCTCTTCTTAAAAGCTTTCAGGGTTGGAGCATTCACAACTTCTGGAGGCAAGTTGTTCCACTGATTAATTGTTCTAACTGTCAGGTAATTTCTCCTTAATTCTAGGTTGGTTCTCTCCTTGGTTAGTTTCCATCCATTGCTTTTTGTCCTGCCTTCAGATGCTTTAGAGAATAGGTTGAAACCCTCTTTTTCTGGCAACCCCTTAGATACTGGAACACCGCTATCATGTCACTCCTAGTCCTTCTTTTAATTAAACTAGACAGTTCAGTATATTTCAGTTTCATCTCTCTTATGCTCCCAGTAAGATGTTTAATAAAAATCTTCCTAAAAAGCACCAACATGAAGTTGTCAAGAAAAGGAAAATGCAAGAAGATCTAAGGGTGACAAGATTTTTTCTTAGGGTCAGCTGAAAATATTCTGATAAAAGAGAATATATGTATTCCATGAAAAGCTTCCATAAGCAAAACTGTATTCAACCATAATACCACATAACTATAGACAAAAAGACTAGCTCACGTGATAAAGTTTCTCTCAATGCTACCACAATAGCTTCTTTTTAATGATCCAAAGCCATGAAGAAAGTTATCTGAAAAATCTGAAAACACAAGAAGCAGAGGATAAAAAGAAGGGCCCTTCTACGCTTTGGCTCATTTGATAGTCCATTTCCTCTGTATGCTTTAACAATTGCCTGCAAAACACAACGGTCCCAATAGTTGATTTGATTCTTTCAAGAGATTCCAAAACATGGTGACTTTTTAGAAAGCGGTATCCTATTTTTAGGCCCCAGTTGGATAATCATGCTTGTTGATGAAGCATTTAAGTCTCTTATCAGATGCTGAATTGTCTGTCAAATCAGCTCAAAATGTGAAATGACAACAACTTAAAAGGAAGGATAGTCATTATAACAATTGATTTGGCTAAACCTTGAATGCTTTAGTCTTGTTCGGCTTCTTTTCGTAACGCTTTGTTATTTCCATGCAGGCCTTGGGTTGCATTCTCTACTTGTTGTGCTTTAGACAACACCCATTTGAAGATGGAGCTAAGCTTCGAATAGTCAATGGAAAATACTCCATCCCACAGAATGACACAAAATATATCGTGTTTCATGATCTTATACGTAAGTTTCAGACAAGGACACCAAATAACCTGGAGAGGTAGCATGAAAAGGAGGGGAGCTGTTGATTTTGTAGAGGATTTTATGGTTTCCTTTTAAACTCAAGAATGCATTTGGTTACTATACCTACAAGTGTATGTGAAAGGCCTCTCTATAGCAGCTATTTCAACATGCTACTTGACAAAGACTTGGACAGACATTCCATGCTAGAGAACAGTAATGGGAGCCATTACAAGTACAAGTTATATAGAATGAATAGAATAGAATAGAATAGAATAGAATAGAATAGAATAGAATAGAATAGAATAGAATAGAATTCTTTATTGCCAAGTGTGATTGGACAGACAAGGAATTTGTCTTTGGCCATATGCTCTCAGTGTACATAAAAAGAAAAGATACATTTGTCAAGAATCATAACGTAGAACACTTAATGATAGTCATAGGGTACAAATAAGCAATCAAATCATACTAGGAAACAGACAGTATCAATATAAATCGCAAGGATACAAGCAACAAAGTTACTTTGTTACAAAGTTAGAAAGTTATTTGAAGAGGATAGACTAGGAAGAGCTGGCCTACTCTTCAGGAAGAAAACAAATACATGCAAAAAGATTGTCTTTATTGTTTCAGTATAGTTTAAATGTGTGGCTTCATTCTAGCTACTTTCGAGTGCTAGCATTTCAGAGTTACATCATAGCAATGATCACAAGTCCAATCGGTAGGCTTTTAACATACGCTGATCTTTTTCTTGCATTGTCTTTAGGTTCTGCTTTGAGGGTGAACCCAGAAGAGAGGCTGTCCATCACTGAGCTTGTCAATCAGCTGCAGGAGATTGCGGCTGCTAGAAATGTGAATCCAAAGTCCCTATCACAGAGGTAATATCCTGTATGGTGAAACCAATTCTCTGCTATGTGGCAGCACTGTGTGTCACATGGTGGAACCCCAGAAACCCCAGCAGGCATGTAGGTATGATTAGGAAGAAACCTGCATCATATTCATTTATTTCTGCTAAGAAAATGTCATGGATGTATCATCAGGAATTGAACTTGATGTTTAGCTTTAGTAAAAGCCTATGACAACACCTTTTTTAGCTATCCTCTGTAGTAAGATGAACAAGGAAATAACATAAGAATGTCATTGAATGGGACAGAACCAGTGGCCAGCTTTTGGTATTTTTGGGAGGATTGCAAAATGTTGAGTATAGAGGATGTCATTTTAGAGGGCTATTGGGAACTGCAGAAGAGATAAATACTACGATTGGCTTTCGGGAATGGGAATTGCATAATTCCTCCCCAAATCATCCATTTATTCTGCTCTCTTTCTGCTCCTCCGGGCTATGTTTTCAAAGGTGAAGGAGAAAAGACAGTTGATGGCGATGATAGAACAGTCTATGTAAGCCAGTCCTCCATTTTTAATAATTTGGCTTAGTGTTTTTCCACATTAATTAGATTATTGCTTCTTGAATGCTTCATTTAGAGCTTTATATTAAAATCAAAATTTGCAGCGATCCTTATATTCTATTTTTACAATCAACCAAACATATTTAAAGTGACTATTACTTTTTTTTAGTGCAGATTGGCTGTGGGTGGGGAAGAGTGGGAGTATATTTGTGTTCACTCCTGCTGTGATGCTTTCCCCCCCAGCTTCTTGAACAAAATGGGGGCTACGGGAATTATGCTCAGCCTAAGACATCTTCAGCCTTGGTGCCACAGAACTCAAAACCTGCTGGTCAGCTTAACAATATATATAATGCAGGTATGATGCTTAATGGAATTTTCTTTGTGTTCTGTCCAATTCTTACTGTTTCTTTTAACATTTCTGGCATCTTTTTTATGTAGCCTTTCTTGCAGTATTTGATCATCTCAATTCTTATTTATTTTAGTATTGCTACTAAACTTTTAAGTTTAGACTTAAAAAGTTTTCCCAAACTTAGAAATCCTGGTGAGAAATAATAGTAATCAAGCTTTGAACAGAATGATGTTCTGTTCTGTTCCTTACCGTCTCATATTGATCATGTCATATATCAAGATTTTAGATAAGGAGACCAATTCATAGTTTATTCTCAGCCATGGATAATTTTGGTATTTTGGGCCAGTCACTCTCTCATAAGCCAAACTCCTCCCAAGAGAAAAAAGGAAAGGGAAGGTTTATGAGTCCCATCTTGATCTTCTGAAGGAAAGTGGAATTTAAATATAACAAATTTCCAGATTTGGAATAAACCATGGAATCATAACAAACCACAGTGGTATGGGATGTTGGAGTAAAAGGAGGAAAAGTGATTCTGTTGGATGTAGAAAATTCAATCTGATTTTATAGTTATCCTTCTCTGTTGAAGAGTAAAAATCATATGTAGATTTTTGAATATTTGTTGACAGTATGATTCCTGGAACACAAACTGTATTAAAAAGGAAAGTTTTGTTTCCTGACTTGTAAGCAAAACATAGGAACTTTAGACTGGAACTTAGAACTTTCTATCTGTGCCCTAATGGACCTTCAGAATAATTACAATATTATAATTAACATTAGGAATATATACTTAAAAACAGGGCATCTTAGAGACCAGCAAATGTATGTGTGAATTTGTGAATTTCAGTCATTTCACTGGATCAGATGTACTTTCTGATATACAGGTTAATCAAACAGTACATCAGTATTGGCACTGGAGTCTAAAAACGAATAGTGTCTCTAGATGAAATGAGTGAAATTTTGTGAAGTTAGTTGAAATGCCATAGTTGTTACAAATGCCAATGGAAGGTTGGTTCTCTAATTCTGGAGGTTTTTAAGCAGACCCTGGACAGCTACCTCTAGTGCAGTGGTTCTCAACCTGTGGGTCGGGACCCCTTTGGGGGTCGAACAACCCTTTCACAGAGGTCGCCTAAGACCATTGGAAAACACATATTTTCAATGATTTTAGGAATAATTTTATGGTTGGGAGTCACCACAACATGAGGAACTGTATTAAAGGGTCGCAGCATTAGGAAGGTTGAGACCCACTGCTCTAGTGGATGGTTGAGTTAGTTTTTTCTGCATATTGTACAGCAGGGGTCTCTAATCTGTGGGCCGTGGCACACTGTTGGGCCATGATGGGTTTGCAACTGGGCTGTGGAAATGGTTGGTGAGCGCACACATGCATCCTCACTTGCATGAATAAGGGGCAAGTGCGTGCACACATGCTCCATTTATGTGAGCAGCAGGCATGCATGCATGCCGCTTGTGGAAATGGAGCTGTGCACACGAACTTGCCAGTCGCTTGCATGAACTATCCCTTCCTTCCCTCTGGTCTGCACAGCCGGAAACATTGGGGAACTCTGCTGTAGAGGGTTGGATTATGAGCCACGGTGGCACAGTGGTTAGAGTGCAGTACTGCAGGCTACCTCTGCTGCCTGCCGGCTGCCTGCAATTTGGCAGTTCAAATCTCACCAGGCTCAAGGTTGACTCAGCCTTCCACTCTTCGAAGGTGGGTAAAACGAGGACCCAGATTGTTAGGGGCAATATGCTGACTCTGTAAAACTCTTAGAGAGGGCTGTAAAGCACTGTAAAGTGGTATATAAGTCTAAGTGCTATTGCTATTAGATGGTCCTTGTATTTCCTTCTCACTGTATAGTCTTACCATTGTGTGAGCATTTAAAACATACAGCAGTCCTCTGATCCCTGAAGGTAATAGCAGCTGGCTGCCATCTGAAATTGAATGCTTTGTTTATTGCAGCTAATAGTTTTCAGGACTGTGTTTGCTTCAGAATGTGTGGACTGTCTTAGAAGAGGAACCATTTGCTGCTTTTCTGTTGAATTATTACAGTTGGCCGCTCTTCTTTGTGTAGAAAAATATTGCTTTAATTAAAAGACACAGACTAAGGTAATAATACATAAATAAAGACGGCAATTAAAGTGCCCTGCTGAATTTGTTTTTAAATGGAAGTACAATTTAATGCAATTTCTAATGGAAATGTAAGTCTGTTTAGAGTAAAGAATAATGATGATTGCCTGCTTGGGTTATAATGCTGTGTTCTTGGCTTTTAGGGCTGATAGTGGCAGAATGTGACCAGACTGCTGGTGGGTTTTTTGATATCCTTCGAGGTGGGACCGAAAGATTTTTCACAAATATCAAGGATACATCTTCAAAAGTTATTCAATCTGTAGCCAAGTAAGTAAAAGTGTGGCTGTATTGATATTTCCATTCTCTGTACTGCAGTTCACCATTCTCAGTGCAAAGGGCATTTTATGTAGTACCATTATTTTCCTTTGGGAATTTTTATTTTATAAGTTACAACCCATTTACAGTCTTGTGGACAGGAACACTAGGAATTCGACTAAGATCAAAGGATGACTCTCTGATTTGAACCCTATCCTTTCCCTTGCTTTCTTGGGAGAATAGAATTGTTCCTTAATCAGGTTAATATTGATCAATATTGATATTGGGAAAATTTTGGAATTCCAATTCTGAAAAATCATACGGCCAGAATGACTCTTATTCACTAAAAGAAAAAATAATAATATAATAAAGTTCTAAAAGTCAGGTCTCATGTGCAAATTAATTTAATTTGTTTAAACTTAGTACTTACTTGTGGTCTAATACCAAGACAATAAATTTTAAAATACCGTATGCCACTAAACTCAAGCCCTATATATAATTTATTATCTAAATTACATTCAGTGTTCAAATTGTTTGCAAATTTGCTTATAAGTACTTCCTTACTTATTTGACACCTGATCTTTAAACATTCCTAAGTACAGTAACATTTTCTCTGAAAAAAATTAATAAGATATATTGTAATTGGTCTATGGGGCTTGGCTTTTTGGACATCCTGTACATATATATAACTGTGGTTTGCCCATTAATACAGTAACAGTAGTTTCTTGATTTTTTTTTTATTAAATTTAAATCTCTCCTGTATTATTTTTACCAGTAACTCTAGGCAGTGAACAAGCGATTGAAAGAAAGTGATAACTTTAAATTATTACTAGGAATGTTAGATCTTGAAGCAGAATTGCCATAGTGTATATTTCAAATGTGGCCTTTCCTTTGAATAGTTTTAAAAAAATACCAGACAATAAGCCAAATTTAGCCTCCAAAAGTCTAAATTTTAGATTGAGGAAAAGAGTGACTTCCCATTCATTAAATATGCCCAAATTTTGGCAGCAAAATCTTAGCATGGCCAGGTGATACATGTTACTCTGTTTGAATTTCATAATCTGAAAAAAATTAAAACACCTTTTCTTGTATATTATGTTACATTACTTCTTTCCAATTACAGTGGAATTCTTTTTAAAAATCTTTCTTGTGTTTCAGTTGCATGTTTAACTATCATTTTGGAATTATCCATAATGCTTTAAACCTGTTAAATAGACTTTAAACTAGCACATCTAATTTACATGAGTAAAACAACTAGAATCCAGTCAAATTATTCCCTTATACATTGCAAATTACATCACGAATGGTGTGTTCAAGGTGGCAAGAATATTAGGAATCAAAGCTGAGATTTGCTGAAAACAGGACTGTCAAGCTAGTTGGCTTTTCAGTTAGAATAATTTCCCAGTTACTAAAACTATAGAATCATACTGTAAGGTTCAGTATAACATCATTAATGGTCCCAAACATCATTCATTTGTTCAGCGAAGCTATGCTTCGTTTCTAATCTAGTTTTGGATCTAGCTCACATGTTAGATGTTAGATAAGACAGTAGTGACCCTTCAAGGGTTGCTCTGTTCTGTGTCGCCTTAGCAACTCATAGTTTCTAAATCATGTGAGGCTGCGTCAGTCATTCTTTCTTTCAGTTATTGTCTGAGAAGAAGTGTGGGCATGGGAACAGAGAGTTCAGAATGACCCATGTGATGTTTGCTTTCCAAAAAATGCCAAGACGGGGTGGGGAGTAATGAGATGGATTCACATTTTTCTTTTTTTAGGTCTACAAGATTAAGCTACCTTAAGCTGACATGAGAAGCAAGCCCTGCTTTTTTGCTTTTGTTTTGTTGCAATAATTTTTTTTAATACAATAGCTGGCGTACAAGTGAAATTGAATTAATTGAATCCGTTAGTCTGTTTTCTCCTAAAGCCGAGTAAGATTCTTTCATTTACATACACTTTTGTGCCTGCTCTAGACCAGGATTTTCATGGGGAGGGGAGAGGAGGTGAGTTGGGCCCATTTGAGATTTCGAATATCTGTAATGGTTGCCATGGTAAATCTGACCAATCACAGAAGCCTCGTATGACCGATCATAAACAGACCCCAGGATTGGAATTACTCACTGTTTTATTTTCTAAATCTGACCAGAGGAACTGTAAGTTATGCATATAGTAATTTGCTTTACTGCATGCTAACTTCCCATTATTATTTTTTTTTATGAAGGGGAAAGAACTGGATAAAATGCTGGACAAGCTATAGGTGGCACACTGTCACTCATTGATCTTAGATAGCACTTTGGGGTCCAGGTTTTAGACCAAAGTTTCTGTGATCTGTAGATCATTGATGCCCCTACAAATAATCGATTGAAGGAAGATTATATTCTAATAATATATTCTCGAGTGCCATCCTTTCTGTTATATTCAGTGTTGCTATTGTTGTTATTGTTTGTTGTTATTATTATCTCTTTTATTCATTAAACATGAAACTCGATCAACTGAACATTTAAAAATGTATCACATTTTATTATTTATTACTCATCACATTATTTATTATTATTATTAATATTATTTGAAGTTGTAATTGATTCAGAAATATCATTGTGCTATGCTGCATTCTGTGAACTGAAGTATTGTTGCTTGGTGTGACTTCAATATAAATCAATTACTCTGCACATTTGATGATCAGATCAATGGTTATTACCTCATTGCTAAAGAGAAAAGGTTTAGGCTCTGATATAGGTTTTGATGATAATGTAATGGTCTGCTTAAAAGGAAAGGATGGGAACTTCTGTTATTTAGATATCAGCAAATAAATCTATAACATAATTTCAGTTTTATCAATCTCTTGATATGGTTTTATCTTAAATGTACAATTGCAAACTTGGAATGAAATAATATAACTTATTTGGGAACTCTAAAGGGTAAAGTATTCATCATAGGTTCAAAAAGCCTTACGACTTTTTTGAATCTTTGGTAGTCCAGTATGTGACTGGTAGCTTTTGAAGGATAACTACTGTATTGAAGAGATCAGTGGGAGAAAGAGGCAGAGTCCTCCATCTCTGGGTTAATGCCTAGGGACAGTTGTCACATAATTCAAAGTCTTCATGCATTTTTGCACAAGGAAGACATAACTAGTTAGACTGGAAAAAGAACATACTTCTTTCTCTACTGTTCAGCAGACTAATCTGATGAAAAGTTTATGAAACTGATGTTTAGGGAGATTCAGGTCTAGTATTCTGGAGGGATTATGACATCAGGATTAGGCTAACCAATCATAAATTAGTTAACCCACATACTGTTCCATGATGTCATTCTGTTGACCAAGACAATGGTTTAGTGTCACCAAGACCTCAATATAGCTCACTTAGTTTTTTAGGTTTTCCTTTTTGCTAGTCATTCAGTGCTTGAATGCTAGCAGCTGTATACTGTCAGAGGGAATTCTCATTGGGATGGACTGGAACCGTTTCTTTCAAGCGGGGTCTTTCCTGGGCAAGGTGAATGACCTCAGGAGATAAGCATTCTTAGCTGGAAATAAGCAGCATTTTAATTGGTAGAAATTACAAATAAACATATGAAAAAATACTGTATCTCTCAGAATATGAGCAGTATTTATGAAAACAGTCAACTAAGTTTGAGAAGAATTGTGAGCATTGTCTCTCACCCATATCAATGGTTCTTGTTATTCATAATGGTATCCATCCAATTTAATGTGGGCTATAGCATTTGGGACAAGGAAAAACAAAAGTAAAATTTGATTTAGAGAGTTCAATTTTTTTAATCTTTATTTTGTTTTTTGGGTGATTTCTGTTTTGTTTTGTTCTGTTTTATCTTACGTTTTGATTTGGTGTTTGATGCTTCTTTCCTTGCCCATTTTTCCCCATTGCTTTTCGTCATTCCATGCTCATGTTCCTTAGCAGCCCAAGGTAAATATTTCTTCAGTATGTTAGTATTCGTACTGTGTGTGCATGCTAGAAGCCAATATCCAACTACAAAAAGTTTTCTGAACTCTTAAGTTTTACCTGTGCCTTGTGATCTCTGCTCAATGTTTTAGCACATGCATAAAACATGTATGCAAACCTATAACCTTATGAATTAAGACATTGCCATTAGGTTCTCAGTTACGTTTATATTTAGTATCATATTTTTGGTACATGTACATCTATAAAGTTCCTTTTTTTCATCAGCCCACTAAATTGCTATATCTCATATTTCTGGCTGTTTTTTTTCCTCTTCCAGTAAGGACAGAGATAGTAAGAAGCAGATTATTGTCAAGTATTGTCCCTGAAATCTTTTATTTCTTAATTTCTGTGTTATTTTTAGGACTTGAAAGAATGGGGCTGTATTTTTAGAGCTATGTGTAGCCAGATCATTCAAACTAAAATCGTTTTCTGAAGGGCATAATTCCAGTAAATGTATTGCAACAACTAAATTGAAATATGCATACATTGTAAATGTCCACCATGTGGGTTGTTACATGGTCAGATCTCCCAAAAATGGAGAAAAAAAAGTTGTTGCAAACGCTAAAGAATAGATAAGAATGGTTCCATGTATAAAACTGTGGCTTTGGTATCCAGGCCTAATGAAAAATTTAAGCTAGTGCATAAATATCAAAACTCCCATTTATCTTTGCTACATAGGATAGGAAAGGGAAATTGATACCCCAAGGACTTGCTGGGTTCTTGCCCTATTTTGCACACAGTTCTATTCAGACCAAACTAAGAATCCACTAACTTGGTCAAATGTGATCCTTATACACCATTGTTAGGGGGATTCACAAAATTGGTCAAAACTGCGGGGGTGCAGTGATTAGAATGCAGTACTGCGGCTAATTCTGCTGACTGTCAACTGCCAGCAGTTTGGCAGTTCGAGTCTCATTGGCTTATGGTTGACCTACCCTTCCATCCGAGGTCGGTAAAATGAGGACCCAGATTGCTGGGGGCAATATGCTAACTCTGTAAACTGCTTAGAGAGGGCTGCAAAGTACTGTGAAGTGGTATATAAGTCTAAATGCTATTGCTATTTGAGCTTATTAGCAACTCAAAAAGTGCTAATTAAGGTGCTCTAGGTGTTGGCTAGCCTACTGGCTCCTTCCAAATAGTTTCAATTGCAATGCCCATAATTCCAAGATATTCCCTCTATCCTTCAGCTATGTAGTCCGTGCCACAGTTCAGGAAGAATTTTGCTCAGTTCATAGCTTTGCTGTGAAGCAAACTGGCAAGGAGATCACAGCTCAGTTGGTAACCCATGTTAAAGGAAGATGGAAATCCTGAGCATAAATGTGGAAGGCAGACTTGAAATAGCTGGTTAAAGAATTTGTCATTTTTGTGTGTGGGTGTTTTGTTTAACTTCTCTACTTTACTAAATCTGTTTTTCAAACCTAAAAATGCTATCCTCTTTAGGAGTCTTAAAACCATCTGTGCCGACTTAAATTAACTTTTTTTCTGCATATAATATTAGTTATCTTCCTGCTCACTGCTTGAGACTTATTTACCATTATGTCCCATTGCATAATTGATTGTTATTTTGTAGACTCTACTTGTATAGCTTAATACGTTCACTACAGATAATCCTCAATTTATGACCACCATTGAGCCCAAAATTTCCATTGCTAATCAAGACAGGTGAGCTTTGCCCCATTTTACAACCTTTCTCGCCACAGTTGTTAAGTGAATCACTGCAGTTGTTAAGTTAGCAACACGGTTGTTAAGTGAATCTGGCTTCCCCATTGACTTTGCATGTCAGAAGTTGAGGTTGCAAAAAGGAATCACATGACACATTTCAACCCTCACAAATATGAGCTAGTTGACAAGCATCCCAGTTTTGATCATGTGACCATAGGGGTGCTGCAATGGTCGTAACCATGAAAAACAGTCATAAGTCATTTTTTTTCAGTAACCCCAGACAGTCACTAAATGAAAGGTTGTAAGTTGAGAACTATCTGTAGTATTCTACTTCCCCCTGTTCCTTCTTTTTCCCTCTGTAGTTATTTAGTGTCGTTTGTTTACAGCACTAAAGAGGTCTGGGCTAATGGAGGATTAAAAGCTCTGTACCCGTTGTATTTTGAAGGACTTTTTTTGCTGTTGATGTAATAACAAACTAGACCAGGGGTCCTCAAACTTGGCAGCTTTAAGGCTTGTGGACTTCAACTCCCAGAATTCTCAAGCCAGATATGCATAGCTGGCTGGAGAATTCTGGGAGTTGAAGTCCACAAGCCTTAAAGCTGCCAAGTTACTGAACTATAATTCCCAGCATACCTCACCACTGAGCATGCTGTGGGAATACATATATACAGTTGTAGTTACCAATAGCTGGACAGGTGCAGATTTCTCCTGGAGAAAATATCCCCCCCACCCCTGCCTGAAAATAATTTTGTAAAGCCTATTATCTAAGACAGTGATCAGGATCTTTCATCTTTGAAATAATTGTTTTTTCTCGAAAGAAAATAATTCTTTAATAATGGTTCAGGCATTTAAGCTGCCATTTACAGTGTGTATTAACCAGGGATATTCTAGATTCTTTAGTTTATCTCCCATAGTTCAGATATTTGAGAATCACATTTGTGACTATCTCTTGGGGATAGGGAGAACAGGTGGTAGTCTTGTTTGATGAACAAAAAGTCAGTAGAATTTAATAAGCCACTTGAAAATAATCATCTGTTGAACTGACTTCTATTCTAACTTTTAACTTGAGTTTTTTTTTAAATCTATATTTCAGTTACGCAAAAGGAGATTTGGATATATCATACATTACATCCAGAATTGCTGGTATGATTACAGACATTTTATTAAACCTGATTTTCTTAAAAAGCAGGCGAATTATATTGAGTTCAACCCTGACTGTTTCTTTCTTTCTTCTCCCTTCGTTCTCTAGTGATGTCATTTCCAGCGGAAGGTGTTGAGTCTGCTATAAAAAATAACATTGAAGATGTGAGGCTGTTTTTGGACTCAAAACATCCCGGACGCTATGCTGTCTACAATCTGTCTCCAAGATCATATCGGCCTTCCAGATTTCACAATAGGGTTTGTAAAGAGTATTACTTTACTCCATTGTGTTTTGTGCATGACAATATTGCACATCTCATTGTACACCTTCCTCACCTTGGTGGGGAAAATAGTGAGAGTGTTTATAGTATCAAAGAAGAATCTTCAAGCTGACTTCCAACCATCAATAAAGCCAAAACGTTTTTTTAGCTTGAAGGCTTCTTTCAATCTTATGGGACTGCAAAAGGAAGAAGGGATTGTCAGTAAAATGGGTCTGGATCAAAAGAAGAAAGGAATATTTCATAAAGTAAAGACATAAATAGACAAAGACAGTGGATATGGTAGTTACCACTAGATGTTTCCCTAAGATCTGTGGAGCAGGATATGAAATCATTTACAGACAGAACAACATACACCCTCACAGATAGTTTTGCCTCTAGTACTAGCATTTCTTTAAACAAAATAACCCTTTGCCAGAATTTGTGTATTTTTCTATTCTATCAGTTTTAATACTTTGAAATTTAAAAAAAGACCATTCAAAATAGCAGCAAATCTGTTTCAAAATGTTAATGGATTTGGTTTTATATACATGTCCCAAAAATAAGGCCAAGCCTGATTTTTGGGGTGGGCGTAAATATATGCCTTCCCTCGAAAATAAGCCCTCTAGCAAGCGCGGCTGTTTTTGCTATGGATTGCGGCCACTTCTGCAGCAGGAGGCCAAGTGATGCCCCCCATGTACCTCGCACTGGTCTTCCGAAGGGTACTGTAGCAGCAGTTATCCACAATTTTTTTTACCCTTATTTCGTCCCAACTGTACTGGGCCACGTGGGTCAGGACGAAATAAGGGTTAACAAATTGTGGATAGCTGCTGCTCTGGTACCCTTCAGAAGGCCGGCGCAAGGCACAAGTCTCCTGTTGCAGGAGTGGCTGCGCCCGAGGAGCGCTTTTGGGAGAGAAGGCAAAGGGAAAGCGATCGCTTGCAAACTCCCGTCCTGCTCCCGCTTCTCCGCCAGGCAACTCCCGGCAGCCCCAGATGCCCAAAGCCCGTGCCCGCCTGGCTCCCTTTCCCCCAGTACCCTGCTCTTTATTGAGGGAGGTGGGGGAGAAGCGAGATGCATGGAGCGAGACAGGGCTCATTCTTCTTGCCATCTCTTCTCCCCCTCTCGCCGGGCATGGCAGGGCTTCCTGCCCCTGGCCAAATTGGATGCAATTTGGGGGTGGGGAGGGATGGGTCTGGGGAGAGGTGAAATGTGTCTTACCTGCCTTGTAGCTCCGTCGTGTGTCTCGCCGTTGTCTGCAGGCAAACACGTAGGGTAAAAGAAACCTTGCGAGTTCAGTCAAATTTCTAGAACTTGTGAGAAGTTTGGTTTTACCCTACAATGTGTTTGCCTGCAGACAACGGCGAGACACGCGACAGAGCTGCAAGACAGGTAAGACGTGCGTTTCATGTCTCCCCGGCCCCACCCCTCCCCACCTGCCACCCCCAAATTGCATCCAATTTGGGCAGGAAGGCCTGCCATGCCCGGTGAGAGAGGGAGAAGAGACTGCAAGAGGAGCCCCGTCACGCTCCATGCATCTCGCTTCTCCCCTGCCCTACCTGCTATCCCCCTCAACAAAGAGATGGCGGGAAAGGGCAGAAGCCAGGCTGCTGTTACGGTACCATTGAAGTGCGTGGAGCCGTCTTACCTGCCTTGCAGCTCCATCGCGTGTCTCGACGTTGTCTGCAGGCAAACACATAGGGTAAAAAAACCCCTCATGAGTTCAATCAAACTTCTCAAACTCGCGAGAAGTTTGGTTTTACCCTACGTGTTTGCCTACAGACAACAGTGAGACACGCGACAGACCTGCAAGGCAGGTAAGACGTGCATCTCTCGTCTCCCTGGCCCCTGGAGGCAGGGGGAAAGAGACGGTAAGAGGAGCAAACCCCGTCTCGCTCCATGCGTCTTGCTTCTCCCCCGCCCCACATGCCACCCCCCTCAATAAAGAGCCGGGTGCTGTGGAAAAGGGAGCCGGGCGGGCGCAGGCTTTGGGCGTCTGGGGCTGCCGGGGGTCACCCGGTAGAGAGGTGGGAGCAGGGCGGGAGTTTATAGCGAGGAGGATGGATGGATGGATGGGAGGCGGGCAAGTGCAAAGAACGCTGGGGAGATTCCCACCTTTGGTTGCCCCACTGAATAGCTGATGAGCGGCTGTGTTGCGTTTCCACAGCAGCGCAACACAGAAGAAGCCATGAGGTGGCCACACTCGCTGTCTCCTGCACCCCCAAAATAATAAGACACCCACCCCCAATAATAAGGCCAAGCCCTTATTTTGGGGTTCAAAAAAAATATAAGACAGGGTCTTATTTTTGGGGAAACATGGTAACTTATGCATAGGTTCTAAGTGCATATTATTTTACATACGCTTCTTAATTCTGAACTGCAATAGCTTCCAAGCTATTTCAGTGCCATTCTATCCTGCTGAATTTTAGTGATAAATGAAGCAATATGGGGTGTTCTGAAACCTTGGGGTGGCGAGGTGGAAGCACATGCAGGCGGTGAGCTTCCCTCACTATTGGATAAGCTCTTTATAATATTGAAACTTGCTGCAAGAAAATGCGATGCCCTTGAAGGATTTTTACCAGGTTCCCAGAAAGTACTCTCTGAATTAGGGATTTGCAGAATATTCCCTTTCAGAGACAAAACATTCCAAGGAACACTCAAGACAGTTTGTTGTTCCTCCAGACCATGCTGGTCTGGCTCTTCTGGAGATGACCTGGCAGTTTTTTGGAAGTAAAGATTTCAGATATGATTTTGCAGAACCCAAATCATCATATGCCAGGAATCCATAAGAGGAAGTGTATTGTCATCATATCCTGTTTACAAATTTCAATTGGCTACTAGCCCTGCAATGGACTAGGTGAACTTGTATTCTGCCCTGGAAATGGTGCTTCTGCCTTCTTGCCATTAAGCTTTAATTTCAGTGTCTGGTAATACCTGTTTCCCCCAAAATAAGGCATTCCCTGATAATAAGCCCAATCGGGCTTTTGAGTGCATGGCAATAAGACCAAGCGCTTATTTCAGGGCTCAAAAACATATAAGACGGGGTCTTATTTTCAGGGAAACACAGTAGTTGGCAATGAATTTAGCACAGCGTTGTAAACAAATAATTTAAAATCTGAAGGAGATTTCAAAAAGCCAATTTTAGTAAAGCAAGTTAATTATGGTTTTTAAAAAAACAGTTTTGGGAGAAGTAGATAACAATAACACTTAGACTTATATACTGCTTTACAGTGCTTTACAGCCCTCTTTAAGCGGTTTACAGAGTCAGCTGTAACACCTTGGAAGGGTGGAAGGCTGAGTCAACCTTGAGCCTGGTGAGATTTGATCTGCCAAATTGCAGGCAGCCGGCAGTCAGCAGAAGTAGCCTGTAGTACTGCACTCTAACCACTGCGCCACCGTGGCTCATAAAGTTAGCTTACTGTCTTTTAAACCTATATCCTAAAGAACCTAGAATGACTCTCTTTCTATGATTTTGCAGTCACAATATTCTTGCAATATCACCCTCTTTTATTTTCTCTCTTTAATCCTTTCATTCAGAGGTTTCTAAAACGATGAAGAGTGGACCCAATGTGCAATTTGTTATAGGGAAAAACAAGTACCAGTTGCACCAGTTTAGCATTGTTAATTGAGATCATTCCCCAGTTGTTTCCAGGGAAAAAAAAGGGCTTGATCGTTTCTGTAGGACAGATTAAATTGAAGGCTTGGCATTTTTTTTTTTTAAATGTGATAATTAATTGGCAGTATATTAGATTTAATAAATCAAAATGTTTCCTTAACAGGTATCTGAATGTGGTTGGCCGGCAAGGCGTACGCCAAACCTTCAAAACCTTTATAGCATCTGTAAGAACATGCATTCATGGCTGAAGCAAGATCCCAAGAATGTTTGCATTGTGCACTGCCTTGTAAGTAATGTTGACCTTCGCTATGCACCTGGTCTGAAATAAATTACAATAAATTACAACAGTTCATTTTGTGACTGTTCAAAGTTACAAGAGCTCTGAAAAAAAGTGAGCTAGGACCAGTTTTCACACTTACAACCATAGCAGCATCCCCATGATCACGTGATCAAAATTCAGATGCTCGTATTTATGACCGTTGCAGTGTCCTGGGATCATGTGATTCCCTTTTGCGACCTTCTGACAAGCAAAGTCAATGGGGAAGCCAGATTCACTTAACAATCGTGTTACTAACTTAACAACTGCAGTAATTCACTTAACAACTATGGAAGGAAAGGCCGTAAGATGGGGCAAAGTTCACTAAACAAATGTCTTATTTAGCAACAGAAATGTTGGGTTCAACAGTGGTCGTAAACTGAGGACTACCAGTACTCTTTTAAAAGTCACCTTGAATAACTTGGGGACGGAATAACTTGGTCTCTTAAAACCGTAAAGCAAAATACATTGGGAAGATCTATACACCATGACATAGATCTAAGATTTTAATTCAGTGCTAAATATTTAAAGTAGGAATGATTTCTTTTTGGTTGCTGTGGTTCAGGCAATGGTGAGAATGAAGAATGCGCTGCTACACCATGCAAGGCTAGTTTTAATGTCCTCTTGTTTTAATGTAGATGTATTTTTAATGTCTGTAAACCATCCAGAGTTACTTTATGGTAAAATTGGCCAATAAAATTTATAAAGGGTGGGTGGGAGGGAGGGAGGGTAGGTAGGTAGATAGATACCCTGTTTCCCCGAAAATAAGACATTCCCTGATAATAAGCCCAATCAGGCTTTTGAACACATGCGCTAAAATAAGCCTGCCCCCCGAAAATAAGCCCTCCCTGAAAATATTTAAACGCAGAGCTGGAAATCAGGTAAGATGGCAAGAGGAGCCCCATCTTGCTCCACGCGACCGAAAATAATAAGACCTCCCCGAAAATAAGGCCAAGCACTTATTTCAGGGTTCAAAAAAATATAAGACAGCTTCTTATTTTCAGGGAAACACGGTAGATAGATGTGATATCCTGGTATGACAATTCTTTTCCCTCTCAGCTTCTGGATCAATCTTGCCAAACTACAGAACTGATTTCTTAGCAGTGGAATTTTGAAATCATGATAGCATATGGCAGACACATGAACAGAAGAAGGCAAACAAAATGATTAGCAGATTGTGGAACCTTCTTTATAATAGGAATCTGAATGGTTTGGAACCAATTATTTATAGGAATATACATTCAGGAAGGAAAGTTGGCTGAGAGAACGTTCTTCCAATATTATTAAATCTTATGTCTAATTGGATTTTCATATATAAATGCTTTTCTGCAAGGCAATCCTAGCTTTTGGGTTTAGAAAATAACTTCAGATGAGGAGATTGATAGGCCTTTTCTCAAGTATATTAAATCAAGTCAAATCTTTTGTTGCGGTCAAGGATCAGTAATAGGTGCAATTCAGCAACAGTTTGATGGTGGGGGGAGTGACTGGGGAGTGGGATATGAATAGATGAGCAATTCACAGAAAAGAGAGGACATTTTCTTGCCAATAGTCAATGCACATTTTGTTTGATTTTCAGTAATTCCCCTCTTTGGTGGGTTTGTGTTCTTTCATAGGACGGAAGAGCAGCATCCGCAGTCGTGGTCTGTTCTTTCTTATGTTTCTGTCGCCTCTTCACCACAGCTGAAGCTGCTGTTTATATGTTTAGTATGAAACGTTGTCCTCCCGGCATTTGGCCATCGCATAAGAGGTACGTTGTTTGCAGAAACAACCATTTCCTTAAAGACAAACCTTGCTTTTTTGGGGGTAAAATTTTTAGAGTGGTAAGCTGTAAGCAGATCAATGGAGTGTGCCATCTTACAAAGGCATTTGGTTCCTGTTCATACAGTCCACAGTGAGATGTTTTTATAATTGTAGTATTGGTGTTAATATTAAACAATGGTTAGGTCACTTTCCAATTAAAACGTTCCTGCAAATCCAGCATAGGTGCCGGACCTGACTGGATTTTTTTCATTTCCCCTTCTTTTTAGTTTAATATCCCACCAACCTTTTCTTTGCCCATCATTTTCTAACATTTTATTTGTTTACTTTAATTGGGAAAAAAAAAAAAGAAATATGGCCACAATAAAGTCAAACATGTTGTATGCAGACAGGAAGAAGGCTGACATCCCCTAATTCACAGGTGTCAAACTCGTGGTGTCATGTTGCCGTCACGTGATGTCTTGTGATGTTTTTTGCCTTCACGGAGCTGGAATGGGTGTGGCCCGAGTGTGATGTATCCGGCATGCCAGTTTGACACCCCTGTCCTAATTCATTTGAGTTTTAAATGTAGTGTCTGTGTGCCACGGGGCCTATTAACAGAGCAGGAGCAGTGAAAACGTTATTGTGGGAATGACTTAGCTGTGACCAGAGGTGGGTTTCAGCAGGTTTTGAACCAGTAGTGGAAATTTTGAGTAGTTTGGAGAACCGGTAGTAAAAATTCTGACTGGCCCTGCCCCCATCTATTCTCTGCCTCCCAAGTCCCAGCTGATCGGGAGGAAATTGGGATTTTGCAGTAATCTTCCCCTGGAGTGGGGTGGGAATGGAGATTTTACAGTACCCTTCCCCTGCCACGCCCACCAAGCCATGCCATACCCACCAAGCCACACCCACAGAACTGGTAGTAAAAAATTTTGAAACCCACCACTCTTTTTAAGTGATTTTCTGCAGGACTAATGGCTTAACTGACAGCTAGCTGTTAGTTCCAGATTCATGCAACAAACCAAACAATGGTTAAGGAAATTTAATTCCTGATAAATTGGTTATAGCGGCCTGTAGTTTAGACATTTTTCCTTAACCACAACTTGACTTTACTCTGGGCTCATGCAGCATGCTAAACTTAACCACAGTAGACATAATATATTGTGTGAACCTGTTCGTTCTACAAGATCACACTGACTGCTTTTCCTGTTTTCAGCTATTAGGAGCTCCTTGTTCTCGTCTCTCATTCAAATGCTGCCTTACTATGCTGATAAAGTTCATGCCTTTTTACATGTATTTAGATTTCTGAATAAATTTTGAGGCTTCTGATATACTTTTCATTGATGAAAAATTTGAACATAGAGATATGACAGAGTACAAAAAGAGGGAATATAATAATGAAACTGCAGAGATTATGACAATCCCACAAGCCTTACTGAAAGCACTTGTTCCTCAAACATCGTTCAGCTACATATTTAGACATGTCTTTAGGGCATAGGAAGCAAGTATGATCATTCATGGCTAATCTAGCTGTATAACAAATGATCCATTAATAATAAAGTTACCTTTTTTTGTGAAAACAAAAATCAGTTGTTTCTTAGTATGAGTTTAATGACACTCATTTAAACTAAATGGGCAAAAAACACTCCTGTGGTTCAGCCATTGATCTACAGCAGTGCTTCTTGACTTGGCAACTTAAAGACGTGTGGACTTCAATTTCCAAAATTCCCTTCCAGCCATCCTGGCTAGAGAATTCTGGGAGTTGAAGTTTGCACATTTTCAAGCTACCAAGGTTGAGAAAACTGGTCTATGGCAAACATGTCTCCCAATTATGGGATTATACAAACTGAAAGAAGATAGCAATAGCACTTAGATTTATATACCGCTTCATAGTGCTTTCCAGCCCTCTCTAAGCGGTTTACAGAGTCAGCATATTGCCCCCAACAATCTGAGTCCTCATTTTACAGACCTCAAAAGGATGGAAGGCTCAGTCAACCTTGAGCCTGATGAGATTCGATCTGCCAAACTGTTGGCAGCCAGAGATCAGCAGAAGCAGCCACTGTGCCACCACAGCTCAAAGATGGCTTTATTCTTCTCAGAGTATCTCTGTGTTACAATACTGTTTAACTATGTACAGCAGTACATAATATATACAGTAGTAGGAGAAAGAATACATACCTTTGCACACTTACTTTGATATGTATGTTTGAAGCTGTATTGCATTGACTTGGCTCATGCAGTGTTCTTTAACTGTATACATTGACTATGTTCTTGTGTGCTCCCAGATATATTGAATATATGTGTGACATGATGGCGGATGAACCCATTATTCCTCACAGCAAGCCAATCCTCATAAAGTCAATCATCATGACTCCAGTTCCTCTCTTCAGCAAGCAGCGCAATGGCTGTAGGCCTTTCTGTGAAGTTTATGTTGGAGATGAAAGAATAACCACTACCTCACAAGAATATGATAAAATGAAGTAAGTGGGATTTCTCTCTAGCCACCATTTTGTCTTTTGCGGTGATGTGGTGTAGGGTGGGGAGGACATCCATTGGTGCCTTAATATCTAACATAGCTTTATGGCTGACATAGTCAATTAGATGCAGGTACTAATTCATGCAATGGCTATTTTATTAGATGTTTTATTTCATTATTGTGCGGAAAGGCTCCCTGGATTGATTCATATTAAAAGCATCCCTGTCTTCAATTTATGAAGTAAAGGATGAAGCATAAAGGGGATATGGGAAAGAAGATGAGAAATCCCAGTAGAAAGAAAAGGAGAAGTTGGAATTTTATCAAGGCTGGTGGACTGGCTTTTTTCACTGCCTTTCCCTGCTTTAGCCTGGAGGCTAAGCTAGACATCAGATGAAAAAGAGCCAGAGGTGGTCAGCCTTTCAAGTTTTAGATGTTCTTTTAAACTAAAGGCAGATTTGCCTAAATGTTGCTCTCTTTGGAGTTCAGATATGTTAATCAGCCATTTCCATCATCCGGTGGTCATGCACGTTGAGGGTTGATGGGAGTAATAAATATGGAGGGCCATGTGATTTGAGAAGATTATCCTGCAGCTTGGTATGAAATGGCTCTCAAAAAAGCCCCATTTAATCTTGGCATGCTTACAACTAGAATCCAGTATCAGTAAGCAACAGGAAGTTGTAAATACCTGCTGCAAATATTAATACCTAATTTTAGAACAGAAGTCCCCTGAAATGTGCTTGTGCAAGGAATGCTTGAGTTTTTGTGCTTTGTTGATCAGTTTGCAAGGTACATAGCCAGACTTTCATAGAAACAATTGGCCATATAATTTTGGAGTTCCCAAGATGGTTCATGATATGATTTTGGATTGAGAGAGAGAAAAGTCTGTTATTTAATGACCACACAGGAATAAAAATTTGGGTGTGGCTAATCTTCATCCTTGTTTATATTTTCAAGGCAGGCGGGACCATCCCAAAAGTCTAGCTTTGTCATAAATGTAGGTAGACAAAGGTAGATTTGCTTTTACTAATCTTAGCTTATAATACTATAATAGTTATAATACTATAACTGTATGAGCAATCCTTAAATATTTGTGGTGAGCCAGTTTGGTGCATTGGTTCTACCAGGCTAGAAACCTGGAAACCAAGAGTTTTAGTCCCACTTTAAGACATGAAGTCAGCCATTGGGTTAGTTCCCTTCTTTTAGCTTTAGGAAGAAAGCAATGGGAAACTACTTCCAAAAAACCCTGCCAAGAAAACTGCAGGAACAAATCTGGATAGTGTGTGACTTGAAGGCACACATATACACAGTCCAACTTTAAGTAAAACTGAACTCTATTTTTTTAGTCTACGACCATATCTTTTAATAAACTAAAATGAATTATTTTTGACTTTTGTACACCTATAGAAGTCAAAATCAAATTAGGGGGTATTAATTTGACTTCTGTATGGTGTGCATGATTGCCCCTGAGTCCAGGCGCAAGAGACCAGATGTGTTGGAATATTTCCATCATCGGTACTTTAAAAAGGGAAGCAATGAACTAATAAACAGGCAGAATGAGTTATGATTGCATTCAGATCTTAAAATCACAGCTATGCTTATCCTCCTTAGGGATTTCAAAATGGAAGATGGGAAAGCAGTCATCCCATTAGGCATCACCGTCCAAGGAGATGTCCTCATTGTGATATATCATGCCAGGTCCACTTTAGGTGGCAGACTCCAAGCCAAGGTAATAATCAAGCTGGGGATTTCTGCGCTCGCAAGTTCTGAAAATGTTGTTGGGCACTTCAGGGCAGAGCTTTGTTCTTACCAGTTGGTTGGATTCCCCCCCCCCCCTTTTTTTATATATATTCTGTAAATAGGAAACCATTTCCTCATTTTTGACTTTGCTGCTGTCCTGAGTTCAACTGATTTTTCTAAACAAAGTTGTATAAGTATAAATAAAAGAATTATTGGGCACATTATGTAACTGAAATAACTGCAGAAAAATGTCAAAAGTTAAAGTGAAACTTTAGAGTTAAGTGCTGTGGTTTGATCTTTGAGAACCAGCTTTTTTTTTTAATAAACATTTAAAGAGAAATATAAATATGAATTTTCTGCAGGTTGCTGCAGAAAATTCAGATTGTTCTGTATCTACAGTAATTGAGATTTATTCACAATAAACGCTTGAGATTTATTCACAATAACACTTAGCTACTAATTCAGCTTATTTGTTGGCCAAGATAGTTCTGGTTGACTTTGATTGTAGCTGCTCTGAGCCTAGAAAAAAAAAAAGGCATGGCTTCAAATGCTATGAATAAATGTATTGACGGCAGGAAATCATTGGGATGCAAGATAAACTATTTCAGGGCCGAAGGCCTTTTAACAAAAGATTGGCAGTCAGAAAACATATGTAATGAAATGCTGAAGATGGTCAGATGAGGATTTGTGTCTTCAGGGCATGTTGTTTCACTAGCACATCTTAATTCCTTTTTTTTTTGTTTTTTTTGTTGTTGTTCCTTTTCAAGATGGCATCAATGAAGATGTTCCAGATCCAGTTTCATACAGGATTTGTACCTCGCAATGCCACAACTGTGAAATTTGCAAAGTATGTTGATCGCGTCTCAATAGGAAATGCTTCCCAACATTTCTTGTACTTGAATTTGTATTCGTTTTTTTTTTTAAAAAAACACAGGTAGCCCTCTGTTTACAGCACTTCATTTAGTGACTGTTCAAAATGACAGCGGCACTGAAAAAAAAGTGACTTTATGACCGTTTTTCACACTTATGACCGTTGCAGCATTCCCAGGGTCACCTGATCAAAATTCAGACGCTTGGCAACTGATTCATATTTATGACGGTTGCAGTGTCTTGGGGTAACGTGATCCCCTTTTGTGACCTCCTGACAAGCAAAGTCAATGGGGAAGCCAGATTCACTTAACAACCGTGTGACTAACTCAACAGCTACAATGATTCACTTAACAACGGTGGCAAGAAAGGTCATAAAATGGGGACAAAGTTTACTTAACTGTCTTGCTTAGCTACAGAAATTTTGGACTCCATTGTGTCGTAAATCGAGGACTACCTGTATAGCATCCTGCAATGCAGTTCTTCAGCCTTTTTTCAATCCAGCTATTTAAGTGACCAAAGTACTGAAGAGCACCAGGCTTTTCTTCTTCAGCTATAGCTTGGACTCTTACTTATATGTTTCTGACTGGCATTTAGTGATCAGAGTGAAGATAAAATAGACACCAAATGCTGAGCTCTGAGGCAAAATTTGAGTTGTGCAAGATTTGGCCAGACATAATACAGGTAAGTCCTCGACTTACAACAGTTCATTTAGTGACTCTTCAAAGCTGCAACATCACTGGAAAAAATGACTTATGACCGTTTTTCACACTTACAACCATTGTAGCATTCCCATGGTCATGTGATTTACATTCGGATGCTTGACAACTGACTCACATTTTTGACGGTTGCAGTATCCCAGAGTCATGTGATCTCCTTTTGTGACCTTCTGACAAGCAAAGTCAATGAGGAAACCAGATTCCCTTAATAACCATGTTGCTAATTTAACAGCTGCAGGGATTCACTTAGCAAACGTGGCAAGAAAAGTTGTAAAATGGAGCAAAACTTACTGAACAAATTTCTCACTTAACAACCTAAATGTTGGGCTCAGTTGTGGTTATAAGTTGAGGATTATCTGTAGCCAAACAGAAGCAGAGCTGGATAAGAGGAAATCATATGCATAACAGGGAGAGTCAAGGCTGGAAGTAAATAATTTTGAGACCTAATTTGCAGCTCTTTTTCTAATTCATATTATTCCTACTTGTTTTCCGATGTGGTTTCAATATCATTGAGCCAGATTACCCCAATTTTGCCCTTGTTAAGTAACGATTAACAACTCTTATTCTAAGATCTGATTTTTCTTCAACATCCAATATCTCAGGGGCTGCCACAAAGAAGAGGGAGTCAAGCTATTCTCCAAAGCACCTGAGGGTAGGACAAGAAGCAATGGGTGGAAACTAATCAAGGAGAGAAGCAACTTAGAACTAAGGAGAAATTTCCTGACAGTTAGAACAATTAATCAGTGGAACGACTTGCCTGCAGAAGTTGTGACTGCTCCAACACTGAAAGTTTTAAAGATGATGTTGGATAACCATTTGTCTGAAGTGGTGTAGGGTTTCCTGCCTAAGCAGGGAGTTGGACTAGAAGACCTCCAAGGTTCCTTCCAATGCTTCTGTTCTGTATTCTATTCTATTCTATTCTATTCTATTCTATTCTATTCTATTCTAATTTAAGAGATGGGGTGGGGAAATTCTCTTATTATTTTATGAAAAGCTAGGTTCTTTGTCATATATGTCATCCTGATGGATTTTTATAAAGGACTAAAACAGCTAACGTCCACAAGGTATGTGTGGGCTGCCTTTGCCAACCTCACAGAAGCAAATGAAGTTTGTTTTAAGGGCTCTATCATCTTGCTTCATGAGGTTTCCCTCTGCAATTTCCTTTAAAAAAGAGTAGTGCTTCTAACTAATGTAATATTGCTACAGATATGATCTGGATGCCTGTGATATTCAAGAGAAGTATCCTGACTTGTTTCAAGTGAATCTAGAAGTAGAAGTAGAGCCACGAAATAAACCCATCATGGAACGAACTCCCTGGGATAACTTGAACATCAAAGGTCTAAATCCCAAGATCCTTTTTTCCAGCCGCGAAGAACAGCAAGAGATTTTATCGAAATTTGGTAAGAAAAAGAAAGAATGCCTGCTTAAACTCTCCATAATCTTCCTTTTCACTCTCTACTTGAGTAGCCTTTTCTTCCTTTTTAAGCACTTAAAGAGAAAGCCAGTTCCAAAAGAGGCGGGGGCTTAAATAGGATGTTTTTATATTCTTGGGGTTTGAATTTTATTTTTTATCTCATAGGTAAGCCTGAACTGCCTAGACAGCCAGGATCAACTGCCCAATACGAAGCAGAAGCCTCAACATCAGAAGCCTCTTCTGAAGGTCCACCTGCGGAGCCAGACTCTCCAGAGAGTGGCAGTGCTGAGGCAAACTTCTTTCATACACTAGACTGGCAAGGTAAAGGGAAAGGATCTGTTACTAGCAAAAGCTGTGTTGTTGCTCTTCGTTTTTTCTAAACTCCCCTTTTATCCTTCTCTTAGCCTCAAAGGTTCTCAGAGCAGCTTATGGATGATTGATCTCACCCTTATAATCTAAATTCAGGCAGGAGAGGGTGGGGGGGGGGGGAGCAGGAAAAAGACAGAGGGGGAAAAAACGCACCTGTGCTGAGTCCTTATTCTTAAATCTAACCAAGTCAGCATAAAAACCCTAAACTGGTATTTAAACGTAGCTAATGGAAGAGCTCTGCTTTCTAGTGTGCCTTTTGTTGTAACCACACCTGCTTTGCTTCATCCATTATAGTTGCATAAAGAAAGCAAACAGTTTTTGCTTCCTTGGTTCCTCTTGATTATGATGGATTTGATTTTCTGAAGCCGTTTCTCTCAATAATATCCTTGGCCAAAGTCCTCGCTTAAGTTTCTTTTTCAAGATGGAGGGGCTTCTGCTGCTGGCCATTCCACTGTGTCTGACCATTTCCTTCTGTAGCCTTTGCAGAGGCAAAAAAAGGTCTCTGGACTTGGTGTTGGTTGCACTAATAAGACACTCTTCCTCAAACTGGGCAGTCTCAAAATGTGGGACTGTAATTCCTCAGAATTCTCGGCAGTAATCATGCTAACTAGGAGATTCTAGGAGTTTGCACTCATGTCAGAAGCACCGAGGCACTTCTGGGTTGAAAGGACTAGCCAGTGACATCACTGTTTCCCAGGGGACACCCAGTTGGGGGTTCCTTTCATGTCCCCAGCAGGAACTGGAGCAAAGGATGGGAGCTCATCCCACCGCATGGCATCACTTGGGTCTTGAACGCAGGTTTGCTAACCTCCAACCCAGCGTCCTAACCACGCAAGCCACCATATTCCTGTCCTAGGAGTCGAAATCCACATTTCTCAAGGCTGTGCTAAGACTTGGCAGCCATGGCAATTTGAGGAGTGCTGCTTGGAGCTTTACAAAAATGCCCCTTGGGAAAAGTGGTTGTTGACATATAAAGTTATATTCCTCTGAAGTCAGCCGTTTGAGTTCAGCAGGTGCCTTTGGATGAATTGTTATGTTGATAAGAGAAGAGAATCCCATATGCTTTGCATTGAATTCTTCAGGGAAATGCGTATGAATATTAACAAACTTCTTTTTTTAAAAAAAAAAAATAAACAGAAGGAAAACAATCTGAAGCCGCTCCTGAAGGTTCCTTTTCTCAAGAGAGTCTTGATCACGTTGAGGAAGAGAAGGAGAATGAACTTTCCAATGAGGAATTCTCTGCATTCCCCGATGATGTTAGACCTTCTGAGGACAGAGAGATGCACCTCCTGGAACAGAAAGATGGCAAGCCTTTTTTTGAAGCTGGCTTTGATCTACCAGCTGCTCAGTCAGAAGAGGCTCCTGAAGAAGACAGCATTGATTTGCTTGGGCTGGATTCAGAGGCTGCTCCTGAACTTCTCCAACCTCCAACGGAGATGAAGAGTTCTTCCAGCAATGCAGACTTGCTGAATGGACTCTTTGTTGGTAGCACTCCAGAAGTTTCAGAAGATTCAACTGCAGACCTCCTGGGTGGAGGAGCAGACTTCTTTTTTGGTGGCCAGCCCCAGGCCTCAGCAGTTTCCCAGGGCAGCAGTTCCTCAGTAGCAGCCACCTCTTCGTCTACAGGTAGGTACCTTGAGCTTCCTTTTCATTAGAACTCTGGCCTGTAGAGCAGCTGAGTAAAGATAGACAGCTTTTTGTTTCTTTTGGCATTTGTGCCAAATCTGTGATTAAGAGGGCAGGGCTTCTGAATGTCATCTGACAAGCCCCGCCTTTTCTGCTGTTCTTTTGTCCCTTCTAGAGAATTTCACACCCCACCCCATCCCAATACCTTGTGAAGAGTTGTTTCTTCTATTAGTCTTTCCACGGAATTCAGTTTTTTTATTAATATTATTATTATTTTTTAAAAGAAAAATCTGCTCTAGAGTATAAAATGAAATGTTTCAATAGATGTTTGATCTTGAAAACCTCAGCCTTTTTTAATTTGATTTTTTTTTAATGGTACAGTTCTAGCCTTTGTGTTTACATCTCAACAAATCCTATATAAGTTTGTCAGGAGGTTTATGGAGAAGGAGAGAAATGAAAACAGATTACACTGATCATTAATATAGTGATTGTTTGGCTTAATCTATCAGTTGTTCCTGCTGTTATTACATCTTGTTACCTTACCTTAAAGACAAAGGCAGGAGCTGAAAAGCAAGAATGGTTAAAATTCGTTTAATAGCTAAATCTTAAGAGGTGTGTACTTGCAGTTTAATATCATCCAAGAATAATGGAATCAGTATTAGCTTTATTCTTGGGTACTATCAATGTTAGCCATTACCAGTAGTCATTGTTTACCAACTGCCTTGTTTAATGACCAAAGTTACAACAGTTTTTTTTAATTAAAAAAAAAAGCTTTACAACCAATCCTTGCATTTACAGTGATTGACAACATCCCACAATTATGTGATGCTGTTGGGCACGTTTGGGCACAGTTCTGCTTTTTGGAAGCTGGTTGTTAAGCCATTTATGAGCTTTATAACCAGCTTTCAAAAAAGCAGAATTAATGGAAAATGCAGAAGTGAAATCTCATATCATAATCCTGAGATGTCTTGCTTAACAACCATGGTGGCTCATTTAATGATGGATTTGCTTAAGTCTGGGATGGTCACATAATTTTTCACTTAATGACCAACTTGCAAACTTTCAAAATCAGAAATTATTGATTTTGTTTAGGAAATAAGAGTTTTATGCAATAATACTGGGCGGCATGGTGAATCAGTGGTTAAGATGCTGGGCCTGTCATTTGGAAAGCCAGTAGCCCAGGTTCAAGACCTGAGTGCCACGTGACAGGGTGAGCTCCTGTTACTTGCTCCAGCTCCTGCCTACCTAGCCTTTCAAAAGCATACAAATGCGAATAGATAAATAGGTACCACTACTGTGTTTCCCCAAAAATAAGATCCTGTCTTATATTTTTTTTAACCCTGAAATAAGTGTTTGCCCTTATTGCCATGCGCTCAAAAGCCCGATTGGGCTTATTATCAGGGGATGTCTTATTTTGGGGGAAACAGGGTACAAGTACATTTCAACTAGTGAAATGAGTCGGCAATGACTAATTGAGTAAAATCTCAGGGACTCCTTTACCTTTATCTTTTTACTGGAAAGAGAGGCCAGTGCTCACTTTTTTTTCTATCCTGTTCCTATCTGTAGTATTAGTGTTCCAACTGAGTTCTGGCTGCTTGTTTTTTCCTGTTTAAGGGATCTTATTAATACCATGTGCTATTTCCAAACGGAAAGAGATTACAGAACAGGGGCGCCCTATGGGTTAGGACTGTTCAACAGTATAATGCAAGGGTATCAAACTCAATTTCATTGAGGGCCACATCAGGGTTGCGTTTGACCTCGGAGGGGCAGAGTGGGCGTGGCCAGCTCAACGTCACTAGTGTCGAGGGTGCCTGTGGTGGCCCGAGCACTCTGCCAGCGAAAATGGGCTGATAAATTCTGTTTTTGACTGTGATGGTCTCCTGCATCCCTCTGGCAGCGAAAACGACGGCCCTCCCGAGCTCTGTTTTAGCTGGCAGAGACACCGCGGGCTGGTCCTTTGCTGTTTCCAGGGTGGCCCCGCAAGCAAGATCTAAGCACCCTGAGGGCCACATCCGGCCCCCGGGCCTTGAGTTTGACCCCCTGGTATATTGGCACAATGAAAGCTCCGTGTGAGCCCAAAATGCCTCTTCTTTCATTCTTCATAAGGTTTAAAAGTATCTTAAAATGGTAAAGTAGATTTCTGTGGAATTTTGTGCCAAATTGTTTTAGTTAGTTTCAATCTGGTCCCTTCCAATGTGATGGGAAATCTGGTCCAACAGATATAGAGGGTGCCATGTTCTTGAAACTAATGGTAGCATAACACATTTATAAAATTCAAGCAGGGGCATTTGCATTTTCTCTGAACACTAAATGATTTGTTTAGAATTTGGCAACCGAGGAGGAATGCCTGTATGTCAAGAGAGGCATTTAAGGCAGTTCTATCCACCCAAGTCATTTGGTTCTTGATCAGTCTGTCTTCTTTCTGAATTCTCAATCACTGCATTTGCTCTCAGAATCTGACTGGAGAAAGGTGGGATTAGTTGCACATTCCGAGAAACTATAAAAATGGTGTGTAAACCCTTGCAGTTTTCACTTTGTCTTGTATCTACTGCAAAGTTTAGCCACCTTATATGCTCCCTCCCTCAAAATCTCAGCAGGATGTAAAATTAAGGATGGACTCTCCTAATGGCTGGAAAAACAGTGGGAACTTTCATTCAAACATGATGAAGTTTGTGTGTAGTATGGTTTTTACCTGTTGAGATCCTGCCCTCTCAATCTGTTATAAATGAAAGTTTGCCCTTGAGGAAGCAAGATTATTCTAATGATTGCAATACATCTTGACATCAGATGAGGGCAACTATGCTGTAATTGTTTGGAATAGGATTGCATGTTGGGTGTTTATGAAAAATGCCTCATTTATTATTATATTCATCTGCTGAAGTGTGATGATGAAAATGATCAGAGACGAGTTGCTTAGTTTTGCTTGAAATGATAAAAGGTGGTTGGAGCGGGGTGCTAATCCGAGCAACTTTGCTGTTGTGTTCCCAACGAACATTACCACATATTAGTTTCTAAGATTCTTGACTCTTAAAACCTTTAAGTGGCAAGGTGGAACATTTGCCAGATTTCCCTCTGGCCACAGTGTGGCGTTCCCTGCTGGATATAAATACGGTTCCTGAGCAGTTACAGTCAGTTTTTGCTTGACAGTAGGCAGTGAAATACCTTCAGGCTGGGAGCTGCTCTTCTGTTTATTTTTCTTTTCTTCCGTCCCCTTTTTTTCTTTTGAAAAAAAAAATCAATAATGCCTTCCATTCTGACTGGTACAGTATGATTTTTCTCCTTCCATTCGGGTCACTAGGCCACAGGGGTTTATTATTATTTTTTTTTTGTAAAGGAAGCCCTGTTAGGTTTCCTTCTGTTGATGAGTTTTGTGCTGATTTCAGTTTGCCGGCCGGCTTTCTTTTAGTATAAAACTTAGTTGGCTTTTTTGTAGGTTTCAGAGGTTGCGGCTTTTTCTTTATTGAGAGTCAAGAGACTTTAAAGAGGCTGAACGGATACAGATTATCTGAGGCATTATTACAGAAAATCCTTGCTCCTTCTGATGATTAGAAACCCTTTTGTTATATAACAGCAATTAAACACTAATAATAGTCCAGGTTTGTGTAAAGCTCAGTCTTAACATCTAGAAAGAATTTATCCTTAACATGCCTTGTGTTGGCACTTCCTCAGGCTTGCTATATTTGCCAGAGCAGAATCTTAACTTTATGCTTGCCTTATTTCTGGAAGCATCTCAAGTAACACCAGCAATGTTGTGTTGTGTTTTGTTTTATCTTTAGCTGACCAGTTTGACCCATTCACAGCCAGTGCAGACAGTCCAACTCTTACCGGTCCTGATCTCTTTGGTGACTTTCTTAGTTCAAATGCACCAACTGTACCTGCTATGTTTCCTTCCACACACAGTGCACCGCCTCCTTCCTCTAGCACAGACTTCCTTAATTTGGGTAAGTGGATGTATCACTTGGTTTCCTGCCTTCCTTCTCTCTTTCCTTCCCTTTCTCCCTCCAAAAATCACATGGCCTGTTGAGTGAAACCTGATAACTTAGATTAGTTAAATTGGATTAGTGTCAAACAAGTTGTGATGGCACTGCTATGGACAAGACTTCCGTTGTCGATATAAACTTGTAATTCCCAATATAAACTGGGGAATGTTTTGCAAACTGACGTCTTCTTTTACCTTCAGATTCTTTTGGGGCGCCAAAGGCAGAGCTACATTGGAAAAATCATCCCATAGTATAAAATTTTAAAATATAAAAAGGCACTCAAGACACTCTCGTTTTGTCCAGCTGGCTGTGTAATATGAAGTTGGTGCCATCTTTAAGTAACAGCCTTCATGGTTCTCGACATTCTGTTTTGTGTAATTTAGAAATACTGTCATTTTGCCTTAAAAACATGATTGGGCAACCTTTTTACAACCGTTGTGAAAAAGGGGGGAGGGGTTGGTAAGTGCTTCAGGAATCACAGAGGGTCCACTTTTGCTTAAAAGTAAGACTGGAAGCACTAAAGACATGCTATAAAGTTTTTTATAGGCCCATTTCTGAAGGCCTCATGAATCATCCTTAAGGGGCTTCTGATTGGTGGTTAGCTATGAAACTTCTTGATAGCCAATAAGATGATGGAAAAGATGGAGCAGGCTTGTTTTGAACACCCTACCAGTGGCTTATATCTTTTCCAACCTATTGCTTTTAGTGATCAGCTTCTTGTACTGTTACTGTTTAAAGCTGATGCATACTCTGGAGCTAAACTAATTTGCTTATGATATTCTGAAGAGTGATAAAAGTCTCCTGTAACTTTCTCTAATTTAAATGTACCATGTTAGACATTTAAGAACATAGTGATGAGTTCTATAATAAAGAATTGTGGAGTGTTGTGTTGATGGCTCCTGAACTGGAATCCAGATCTCTACCAGGGTGATACTGAATTTCATTGTTCTTGATTTTTTGTTTTCTCTCCCTTTTCAACTGCTAGTCAGAATTCTATGGATAGTGGGCATCTCCCTCCCCCCCCAAATGGTGTTTATTTCCTGTCAAGTATTTTGTGCTTCTGAAAATCTTGGTTCTCTTCCACCTACCCCCAGCCAACTAAAATTTTAATCATAGAATCACTGAGTTGGAAGACACATTATAGGGCATTGATCCAACTCCCTTATTCAGTGCACGAATCCAAATTAAACCATTGTCTCTATTCAGTGTGTCTGTATATTGTTTGCATATATTAAGTGAAGAAGACCACACCACTTTTTTAGGTAATTGATTCCATTTCTTGACGGATCTTACTCCATTGTTCTTTAATTTACAATCATTATTCCATGTTCTGCACAATAGGACATTTTTATTCCATGCTGGTGCAGAGAAATATTTTCTTGGCTATCTTCTGCATGATATCTCATGAGGTATTTGATGAATCTTGGAGCATTGCTTTCCATGTTCTCTTTTCAAGACTTCATATTACTTATCTCAATCTCTCATTGTCAGATCTGATTTCTGGCCCTCTTATCATTCCCAATGTCCTTCATTCCAATTTGTTTCAGACTTTTTTAAAAATATGGTGCATAGAATTAGATGTAACATCTGAGATGATATCTGACCAGTATGGAATTCTTCCATTTTTCAAAAACTTACGTTAATACAGCCTAAAACCCAATTTCCCCTGTTTGCAACCACATTATATTGTGTTACATAGGCTTGGGTTAAAACCATTTTAGGCATATAAGAGGCAATATATCAAAAAATAATATGAGTACAGATTATTTCTGTTAGATTGGATATCTAACCTACGAGAACCAGAGATACAAAGTATTTAATTATACTCAGTAGCTCATTTGAGTTCAAATTCTCTGGAGTCTAAAAAGACGACAGACTAAATGAATAACAAACAGCTCACTGTATTAAAATATGAATTTATTCTCAGTGTTAAGTACCTAGAGAGTTACCTTCTTCATTTATTTATAAAGAAAAATAAGTGCTAGGGAAGTAGGTGTAGACATCTGTGTTGGCTATGATTCTATATCCTTTCTTCCCATGTTGACAACAGCACAATAAACTCTGAACTTTACCTAACTCAATGTTCCAGTGCATTTATTTTCTGGAAAAGTGGGATGTCCTTTTCCATTCTAAAAAGATAATTGAGAAAAAAACATACCCGTCGTAAGCAATGAACCATCTTTATAGTTATTGCTCATTTGCATAGATTGTCCATCAAGCAGTGAGAGGGCTGATAGAAAGATCTTTTCCTTTCTCTTGGCTAGTTCACAACAATCTTATGTATCTAAAAGTGTCTTAGGTATAAAAAACATTCGGTTTCTATAACAGTACATAGGGGTAGCTCTCATTGGATGGGTGTCTGTTTGAATAGGCAGAAAAGCAAATACAGAAAGTCTAATGCCCTTTTTGTATTAAGTCTGAACTGAGGCGGCACCACATGCAGTTGTTATTCAGGCTCCTCTCCTGATTAAATCTATAAATAACAGTTTGTAGAGTCCGGAAAAAATCTCTCTTGCCGGCTTAATAGCACATCTGCTCCATGCTTTGGATAAAGATGCCTTCTAAATGATTACGTCATCTCTTAGAGGGCTTTAGTAAGCTTGCTGTAAGAGCGGGTTGGACAGTGGCTTTTTGACCTCAGTCAAACCTTGTGTAACCAATATAATAATTTAAACTTTTTTGGCTGTCAGTTTTTTTCAATAATCCAATCTAACATGCACGTGATTTTAAAAAAGGAAAAAAAAAAAAAGAAAGAAACCACCCCCATTTTCTGTTAAAATAGCAAGTGCCTTCTGCCTGGTTATTTACAGCAAATCTTTTAGTGTTACAGCCCAGAGGGGGAAAAAAAAGAAAGAGCAATAAAGTCAAAATGACCATTAAATTTAAATGGGCATTACATACCTGCATAAGTTGATGAACGAGGATTTTCCACCTGCAGAAAATGACAAATATGAATACTATGCAGGAACGGAGGGATACATTGTATGAAAAGATTTCAGTCTTACAGTTAATCTGTAACTGTTAAACCAAGGGTTTTATACAACCCTGAGTGTGTGTTACAAAATATTTCACTTTAATGGAGAAATACCTTTCACAGTAACCTTGGACAGAAGCATATAAAGAAATAAAAATAGTTTTCAATGTAGTTGTCTTTTTCATGGAATGGATTAAGGAATGTATTCTTATCTTACTGTTGAAGCTGTCCTCAGGTTGACATAGGCATTCATACCTCAGGTTTCTGAAACTAAACTCTTAAAATTACCAGCTAACATGGCTGGAAATTTTGGGAATGCTGGTGTATCATATATGTAGTTCACCAATTTATGAAGGTTTATCCTCTGCCTGACTTTGGCTCTGGTAATCATTTAACACAGAGAGCAATTGACAATTGTGGTTTTTTTTTTTCCAGAAATCCACTCTGTTCATACTCAGAGTAAGTTAAGGCCTTCTGGACATGAATTCTGAGAATGGCAGTAGATCTGGCTTATGCTAAATTTGGAAGGTAGATTGAAAACACTAATCCAGCCTAACCAGAAAGCCATTAGCATTTTTTAAAAGCAAATCAGTACTATTAAAAGTCAGAACCAAATGTCTGAGTGTTAAATTGAGAAAAGTGGAGCATGCAGAGACCTCAGCTAAGTTAGCTTAATTGGCCTGAGTAGGATTCTGGTAATTGTAGAACTGGAAAATTCAAAATAAGACCCAGGAACCTGTTTATCTGTAGAACAGTTGCAGTAGCTCTTCTACTCCAATTATAGTTCTTTTATTGTGCATAACTTTGTGACACTGTAATTGTTATTCATGCTGATACGGAATAAAGCAGGTATTTTAGTCCAATATATCCACCAGCCACCAGATTGGGATGGCTGCTTGGAATGAAGCTCAGGTGTAGATGTAGATACAAATCCAAAATCTGAAAAATGCAGTTTGAATTTAAATGGAGGCTTGGAATTGTTGCTGAACAGAGAGCAACTGTAAAAGGAAATTGTCAAATAGGCAGCTTAAGGTACTCTTTATGACTTGTCTAGATTAAAATATGACTTGTAAAATGCTGCCCAGAGTCTCAATCTCATGACACAGATTGGCAACCAAGGTAAAAATTTCCTATGAGTGGAACAAAAGAAAGTTTTTTGGAAGCCAGACTAACATTGAAGAGAAATTATATAAGGAAATTAAACCTCATCGGATTTTCCCCCCCGAATGCTAGAAAATTATTTAAAACAAAAGAAGCCAACCACAGAAAATAGTGTGTGTTTTTTTCTTTGTATATTCAATGGGGCAGATGTCTATTACTTGAGTTTAGGTGAGACGTGTGTGTGTGGGGGAGGCTTGATGGGAAAGAGACCAGAAGCAACTATAGCATTTTCTACAAAGTGTCCTGCTATTCCTAAGGATTATATGACTCAAAGTGTGCTACTATAACCAAATTCAGATCTATAGGTAATCCTCGATTTACGATGATACGTTTTTGTTTTATTTTTATTTTTTTTTAAATTTGATTTATATGCCGCCCTTCTCCGGAGACTCAGGGTGGCTTACACTGTGTTCAGCAATAGCCTTCATCCTTTTGTATATTTATACCAAGTCAGCTTATTGCCCCCACAACTGGGTCCTCAATTTACCTACCTTAGAAAGGATGGAAGGCTGAGTCAACCTTGAGCCTTGCCGAGATTCGAACCTGCAGTAATTGCAGGCAGCTGGTCTTAATAACCAGCTTAATAACAGGGTGCCTTAGACCACTGTACTACCAAGGCTCTAAACATACGTTTAGTGGTATGTTTAATGACAGCACTGAAAAAAGTGACGTACTACCAGTCCTCACCCTTACAACCATCATAGTGCCCTGTGGTCACTGAGATTGCTACTGTTAGGCCCCTTCATAGCTGCCAGCCCCACGTGGTTTCCTTGGTTTACTGAGGTGATGAGAGAAATTAAGCAATTGAAAAATTGCCAAGAATGAG